ACTTCTAATATACTTATGTCTTATTAAAAAAAAAGATAATCCATTTTTAATCAAGAAAAGACAAAGCTCTAATATTATTAGTATATTTTTGTCAATTTGTCAACAACAAGAATTTGATAAAAGTAAATATATAAGTCAAACTTTCTAAAAGAAGTATCATAAAATAAAAATAAAAAAATATGTATATTAAAAAGAAATTAGAATGGCTATTGCCAAAAGATAAGATAATTAGAGATTCTTGAAATTAGACTAGAAATAAGAAAAGTATTGATAAAAGTAAAGAAGACTTTGTTCTTGCTTCTATATATATTATCTACTTAAGAGCTACATAGAAATGTTTTGTAGGACTTCCAAAAATATATTAACTTTGTATGACATGTATTTCAACTTGTAAGGCAACTTTTCTATGTGGATGCCACATAGTTAGCTTATTTTGCAAGCTACTAATATGTGTGGCACGTGGTTAGCTTGTTGACTAAATTTCTAACCTATCAATTAACTAAAAATACATGTAAATCCAAAGCAGTGTCTATAGAACTTTTAAGAAGCTTTTCTAGAAGATATTATGAAATTAATTTATTTTTATTTATTTCTATGTATTCATATTATCTAAATAATAATTATAATAAATATATATCTATAAAATATAATAATTTAGTAATATTTAATGTAATTAGAATTCTTTTTAATCCAATTATTTTAGGATTATCGTGGCTAAAAAAATATAACCTTCAAATAGACTAGATTTTTTGTAATCTTAATTTTTTTTTGTAATTTAGCCTAAGATTCTACTAGATAAGTAGAAATCTATCAAATTAATATATCCAAGATATTATTGATAAGTACAAGAACTTTCATACATGTTGTAAAAGAAGAGTTAATTTTTGATATTTATGCCACATATATTGTTGATAAAAAAAGGATTTCTAGTAGCATTCCAAATCAATACCGAAATTATCAAGATATTTATTTTAGAGTGCCATTTTTACAATTGTTCCATCAATCTTCAAGAAGAAGTTCAACCATTATTTGTACTAATATATAATCTATTATATAATAAGTTGGATGTATTCAAGAAATATATTGATGAAAATTTGGCTAAAAACTTCATATGTCATTCTAAATCTCTAATTAAGGCTCCTATCTTATTTGTGAAAAAAAAATGGATCTCTACAAATCTGTAGACTATCAAAGACTCAATAAGATCAGTATCAAGAATAAGTATCCTTTATCATTATTTTTTAGACTTCTTAATTAACTAAATCAAATAAAAATCTACATGAAAATAGATCTACAAGGAGTATATAACTTAGTATGCATTAAAGAAAGAGATAAATAAAAAATTATATTTCAAATTAGGTATAGATATTTTGAAAATAATATCATACCTTTTGGACTCACAAATGCACTAGCTATATTTCAACATCTAATAAATGATATCTTTGGTGAATTTCTTGATGATTTTATTGTTTATTATTTATAAAATATTTTTTTCTATTCTAAAAACATAAAAGAACATGAACTTTATTTTCATCATGTATTATAAAAATTAAAAGATACAAGATTATATTTCAAAATAAAAAAGTGTATATTTTATATTATTTAAGTTGATTTTTTAAGATACATCATATAAAATGATGGTCTTATGACAGATCTTATAAAGGTCAAGACTATCAAAGATTGAAAGATCTCAAAAAAATAAAAAATAAAAAATATTTTTAAAATTTGTTAATTATTATCAAATCTTCATCAAGATCTTTTTTCAAATTGCGGCTCTTTTTATCTACTTGACATGTAAAGACAAACTTGAGTGAAAAAAGAAGCTAAAAGATCTTTTGAAGTCTTAAAGATATTATTTATTTTTGCTCCAATCTTATATTTTGTCAATTTTTTCATAAAAATAAATGCATCAAATTTTATTATAGGTGTTGTTTTTTCACAAATGAAAAAAAATGATAAGTTTTAGTTAGTAGCTTTTCAATCTAAAAAAATTTCAACAACTAAGATTAATTATGAGATCCATGATAAAAAGCTTCTTATAATCATAGATTCATTTCAAGCATGATGTCCTTATCTAGAAGGTGCTTCTATTCTAGTCATTGTATATATAGATCACAAGAATCTCAAGTACTTCATATCAATTCATGTTTTGAATCATCACCAAACCTATTGGAGCATGTTTTTATCAAGATTTGATTTCAAGATTACTTATCAATCTAAAAAACAACAAGATTTGTTAGATGTGTTTTCTAGAAATTCTTATCTTGCATCAAAAGAAGGAGATGCAGCCTTTAATCAACAAAAAATAATTCTCTAAAAGCTAAAGCATTTTCATCTTTAAGTAATAAAATCAACATTGACTATTGATTCAACCTTTATCAAGCTAATTCAATCAAGTATGTCCTTTAATCCTCTTATTCATGATATTAAGAATACTTCTTCTAAGTCTCATGATACTTCCAAGTTTGAGTTCAAAAATAACCTATTCTATTTTAAAGGTTGTCTAAATATTCTAAAAAAAAAAAGACTCATTTATATATTCTTCAAGCACGTCACAACTTTCTAGCAATAGGACATTTTTGATACAACAAGACTTTGGAGCTTATATATAAAGATTTTTGATAGCCAAAAATGTGGAAGGCTATAAGAGTCTTTGTGTAAATATAAAAAATTTATTTAAGATCAAAAATTCCTTGTTATTGATCCTATAGACTTCTTCAACCATTATCTATATCAAAATAATCATGATCTCCTATTTCTATAGACTTTATTATAGATCTTCTAAGTTTAAGTTCATATGACATATATTTGTGATTGTAGATTGCTTCACCACAAATATACATTTTGTACCATGCATAAAATCTATTTTAGGTGAAGAAATAATTAAGTTTTTTTTTGATAATATTTATTATTATCATGGATTGCTAAAGAATATTATATTAGATAAAAAGATATAATTTTTATGAAAATTTTGAAGAATCTTTTTTAAAATATTAAAGAAAAATAGAAAATTATCTTGGACCTTTCATCCTCAAATTGATGAACAAACAAAACTAGTGAATCAAGTTCTAGAATAGTATTTGAGGTGTACTATCAACTATCATCAACATGATTGAACAACTCTTTTGCCATTGGCAAAATTTGTGTGTAATAACTTAATATATTTTTTGCTCAATAAATATCTTTTTTTGCCAATTATGATTATCATCTATAACTTAATACTTTTGACTTTTTAAAAGTTGATGATCTTGCAACAAAAAATTTAAAAAATTATTTATCAAAGTTAAATGTAACAATGAAGTAGTAGTTAAAGGAAGCTTAAGAATAACAAAAGATCAATACAAATGCCTATTGTATGGATTAATCTATTGTAGGTTCGAACCTTTTCTTATTTGTGAACAAGTCAATCTTCTTACTTATTAATTTTATCTATTGGAGTTTATGAAGATCCATCTCGTATTTCACATGTCTCTTCTTGAACCATATAAGGCAATAAATATCTTGGAAAGAAGAAAAATGCCACCTCTTCCTATAGAAGTAGGTAATAATCAAGAGTTTGAAGTGGAAGAAATCATAAATTGAAGGTGGCACCAAAATAGATTGAAATATCTTATTTATTAGAATAGATATGATATTAGTGAATGCACATGGGAGCTAGTAAAGAATCTTGTAAATACAGTAAAGAAGATTGAATTTTTTCATTGATAACATTTATCATAACTAAGATGAAGAATAGCAAGATCCATAAGAGATGATGACTACTTTTTATAGAATTCATCTCTAAAAAAGAAGATAATATCACGGACATACATATTTACTTCAATAATTATTTATATGATTAAGTAGAAAAAAATAAGTATAGATTAATTTCATAATACTTCTAAAACAATTTCCTATAAGCTTTATAGACATGATTTTGACTTCACACATATTTGTAATTGATTGATAGATTAGAAACTTGATCAACAAATTAACCACATACTATACATATTGGTAGCTTGTAGAATAAGCTAACTATGTAGTACACATATAGAAAACTTACCTTGCAAGTTAAGACATGTATCTAACAATGTCAACACATGTTGGAGGTTCTATATAAAATTGCCACATAGCCCCTAATTTGATAGTATATATGAAGGCAAGAGTGAAGCTTTCTTCACTCTTGTTAAAATCTTTTTAATCTTTAGTCTTATTTCAAGACTTTCTAGTCTTCTTGTCTTTAGAAATAGTTATTCTAATTCAATATATTACCATCTTTGAATGACTTTTTAATATTTCTGAGTGACACAAGAATGTATTAAGTTTTTTTTCTTTAAGATTCATATCCTTGATACTTCCTATTGCAAGTCAAAAGTCTACCAATTCATCAACAGACTACTCCACCTACCTTTTATGCTCTTCAAAATTGGTGAAAGATAAGTTATTGGCCTCATTATTAAAACTAATGATGTGTCAAAAAATTAGAGGATTTTATATTTTAGCTACACTTCTATCCATTGATCAAGCATAGAAAGAGGTCCTAAAATCAAAGTGGCTTTATTCTCTTATATCTTATATTTTTAATAATATTTTCTTGATATATATATAATCCATTTTTTAAAAGTATCATCATAACTTTAATCATTTGTGACTAGATTGATCCACATCAATTCTCATGTTTTCTTTTTGTCCATTTTTCCATTCTCTCACCTCTTAATAATAAAAATTCTTATTATTATTCAGACAACTTGAATAGTAGAATATTCCTTTATTATTTTCTACACAATTTAAAGAGGCTTTCATTAAAGATATAAACCAACCAATCATTTCTAAATGTCAATAACATCACGTCTCTTTGTTCTTCATTCCATGCCTCTAAACCTTTAAACGGTAGACATCGAAAAAGTAAACTACAAAGGAGAAAGTAAGGACGGCATGACGAGGAGGAGGAGCCTTTTTTGCGGTCCACCGAAGCTTTTGCAGCCGCCTCGCGAGCCCCGCCAGCGTCGCGGCGTGCGCGTCGTGAGCGCGGGGCTAACGATTTCATGGCCCTTCACCTCTCACTTCACCTGGTTTTGCATCGCAACTGGGTTGCGTGTAGCGACGCAATTAGAGTATGCGTGTTTGTTTCGGCGATATTACTTTTCGCCGAAGCAAACGTCGCCTTGGGATTGCTGATGACGCCAGTGGTCAGGGTGCAAGAAGACCATCTCAGCGGACCCCCTCGTAGCACAAAATCCAACGTCCCGCATCAAACTGGTGCTGATCCTGGTAAAGCCATCTACAGTGGCATCTCTGTCTCCCGTGGTAATCTCACAGCCCCACACAACTCGTTCCTCTCTTGAGAGAGCTCTGCTGGTTAATGAAAGAGAAAGCTCCGTACGCTACGTGGGTCGTTTGGTGTCATCAGTGCAGGTTTAGTTGTGGAGTTTCGAATGGTCAGAGTAAATTGCAGAATGGTATGGAAGAATAGAAGAGTGGGAGTTTAATTTTTTGAGCTTTTGTTAGGGATGGTGGATGAAGGATGGCTCGACCGGGCCAAGGTTCATGGGGCCATGATCCTGTGTGGTGCTGGCTATGGCGGCTATTTCGTGTTTTCGAAGGCCTGTTTGACTGGGGGGGTCGACCCGTTTGTGTTTTCAATGTACCGTGACTGCATTGGCTGCATCACTTTGTTTGTGTACGCTTCGGTCTTCGAAAGGTACGATGTTTATTTCAAGGTCTTGCCAATTTTCCAGAATAGTTATGTGCAGAGCTGGCGATTAGTAGTCAGTATGCAGGATGCTTTTCTTCATGATGCTTGAGTATATCGATTCTTTCGAAGAGCGGGAATGTTTGCCATAGGTTTGTTTAAAGTTAGATCTTCTGTTGTAGGAGTGAGGTTTTTTGTCCCATGCATTTTCTGTTGTCAATTTGGCATCCTTGTTTCTTGAGTGCGCAAATGGTTTTTAGCTGGTTGTTGATATTCTTTCAACGACCGATGGAGTTGGAATGAGGTTTGATCTGCAGGCAACATTGGTCAAAGATCTCCTTGGAAATCGTAGGACTTCTTTTTGCAATGGCAATTTTTGGGTACGTTAAATATTCGTATTCTCTTCCTAAATAATCGTTGCATAAAATGCCGCGATGTTCTTCGAAAATGTTGAATGTAAATTCCATGTCTGTGGGTTCCGATGTGTGAATGATAGCCTTGTCTTAACCCTGCTCAGAGAAATACAATGCTATCTCATTAATGTTTGCATTTCTTGGTGTTATTCATTCAATTCATCGAAAGTGTACTTTTATATGTTTTCAAGAAAGGAGGCTTAGAATTTATCATTATCACTGTGAATTAATGACATTCCTGGATTAGCTGTGTCTGCTGGTTTTTGTTCAATTCGTCTAGGGGGTGTTATCTTTCATATGCTTCTATAATAAACTTCAGCTGAACATGTTGTTGAATTCTGCAGAGTTTACTTGCAGCAATTACTTTTCCTAATTGGCCTGAAATATACAAATGTGATTTTTTCCTCCCTCATGATGAACTGCATCCCAGTCTGGACATTCCTAATAGCAGCAATTTTCCGGTAGGTCCTATAATTTTGCGTTGCCTTCACTTGCCTAGCTTTTGAGTTCCTGTGGCTAATCCTCGCAGGGTTTTAAAAACTCCCTTACTGGACGCTTTGTTCTCAAATTCGTAATTTGATATATTGGAGGTGACACACCACTAATAAGCTGCATATCATGCTATTGTTTGCCAGGATAGAAGAAGTTTTTTGGTGTAGGAGAGATGGGCAAGCCAAAGTCCTGGGAATTTTGTTCTGCGTCTGTGGAGCTACTATTCTGACTCTTTACAAGGGTCCTATACTTTTTGGAAATTCGACACCCGTATCTCCTCTTCGTAATTCTCTATTCTCCGTTTCGCAAGTTCTGAAACTCGATTCATGGAAATTCGGCGCACTCTGCCTTGTATTTGATAGCTTCGTCTGCGGAGCATTTGTCAACCTACAGGTGCCCTACAGGTTACAGTCTCTTAAAAGTCTACTACCAATACGTGTAACAACATATTCCTCTTGATTTTTGTATCTGGTGTATTTCATAGTTCCATCTGTTGGAAACCCTATCTTAGTAACTCTGAAGTCTAATCTGTTAACCATCGAATAGTGGCATTATTGCATCCAACGAAATCCTCTCAGTGACCTGATGCTGTCAGATGTTCAAAGAACTACTATGCTTTGAGCTTGTCATTCTGGTTGAGCCGTCACCATTCCTCATCATGTAGTGTTTTTGTGTTAAATGGTTCAGGTTCCAGCGCTTAGGAGATTTCCCGCTCCACTCACCTTAATGTCCCTTACAACTCTGCTAGGTGGTTTTATGTTTGCCATCACCGTTTTCTTCAGGATGAAAGATGTCTCGGAGATAATTTTTTCTCCTGGGCCAGACCTCATCGCAGTCATATATGCAGTAAGCCGCTTGAAGCTTGATTATATCTTCACCGAGTTTATGTGCTCAGTTTACTAAAATTGGATTTTTTTCGCTCCAGTTAATGTTTGGAATAGACACATATCACCTCTAGTTTGCAGTTTCGAAGACAACATTACTGCAATTTGCGGTATCCTAGAATATTTTGCTCAATGGAAAACTGAAACAGTTATCACGTGTTCAGTTGATACTACAATATGCTGTGATCTGCAGGGACTAGTGGCGTCAGGGTTGTGCCTCTTTTTCCAATGCTGGGCGAACCACAAAAGTGGCCCAGTTGTTGTTGCGGCCTACACTCCGATGCAGCCCATTTTCTCCGCAATTTTTGGTACCATATTCTTCGGCAATGTGCTCGTCCTTGGAAGGTAAGTTACAATTAGTACATAGGGTTTTGTTCATGAATGGAAACCATGATACCAGAAATATTTTCATTTTTAACATTTCAAATTTCAACAGTCGAGAAATGAAAATGTAGAGAGTAGTACTCTTATAGCTTTTGATGATAGGACACTGATATGACCTGCTTAATTTCTGCATTAGTGTTTGCAGAGTGGAGCGCTGATGAATCCCTTATTGCTTGGTTTGAGGTCACGTAGGTTTTTTAAAAACACGTCTTGTTTTCATCTAACATTCAACACCCGGTCTTTGTGGCAGTTTACTTGGTGCCGCTTCAATCATCTCTGGCCTATTTCTTGTGATTTGGGGAACAACAGAGAGTATGCGTTTGAAAATTCTCTCACTCCAAATTCCGACTCATGGATATTATGGAGATGCCACGAAGCCAACTTCACCTCCTGTTGATCCATTTCTGACCATTACTGCACCCTTGGTCCAGCCATTACTATCGTAAGAAAGTTTCTGCATTGTCGATCTACTTGAGGATGTTCGACAGTCTCATCACAATAATTGATCTTTTCATGGACGGAATGGTCTCTCAAGTTTGTAAATGTAGATGATTTTTATATTTAAATGGCCTATTTGAGATGACCTTGGAGGTGTGAAACTGCCTTGATGCCATTACAGACTTAGTTTATCTCCCTGGTTATTTAATATTTACGATGAACTTCAGATTTCAACTCGAGACTGGAGGATACTTCTCCAACTCAAAACTTTGTAAATTATTTCATTTAAACTCTATTTTGCATTTGCAACATACATTTGAACTGGAATCTGATGTACTCGTTGCAAATTTACTGAAACACTTTTTTTTGGACACAAGTAGTGGTATAGATCAGAAGTCTTCGCAATGGCCGCTGAAGGCAAGCTGATGCTTCTTGAGGAAGGTACCCATTGATTGTGAAGTAGCTCATTTAAATGCATAATTTGTGACCTCTTGGTGGAAGCCTTTACGAGTAATTTCTGTATATCAATGACATGTTTAAACTGTTAATTTAGGTTCAGAAAGACGTTCTGAAGCAAGTTTTCACTTTATATGTCCTCTCACATACTCGAGAGATTTCTGCTGTGGTTTTCTGTGAGCTTTTGTTTTGGGAATTGAGCAGTGAAAATTGTATTAGTAGTCTTATATCTTGGTCACCTTGACATCATCTTTCCATATAAATTACTTTTTGGAAAAGTATGATTTAATGTAAATTCGTTAAAAGATGTTTTCTAATATATGTCAAGCAAATCTTGATTTGAAGTGGGCAAAAAATGAGGTTTGGCTTCAATTATTGCCAAGTTTTGGGTAATTAAGAAATTGATCCACAATTGAAAGACTAACAATGTTAATAAATTGTAGAGAATTGGCCACCAATTAGGATATATAAAAAGATTGGACAAAAATAACAATTATTTTATTAGTGGTTTGGCATAATAATCCTCAAGTTCATACTTTATAGATGAATATCTCTCCATGAATGACATTTAGACATATCCAAATTTTTGCATATTTATTATGAATTTTTTAATAAAGTAATATGAGCTAGAGATTATAGTGTATGCAATGGATGATTGCAATGTTGTTGGCAAAGGCCCAAATTTTGAATCATAGCTTTGGTTGTGACCTTTGTTTATTTTTCATTTACAGTAAAGTTTTATTACATATTAGGTATGGTTTTATATTTTTAGAAGATATCTTCGCTCAAACTCATCAATTATAGATTTTTGGATTAGAATTTAGAAAAATATTTAAGAAAATATTTAATAAAATAAAATATATAAAGAAGTTAATATTAAAAATTACTTAGAATTCCACTTCAAAATATAAAAAAATACAAACAATAACTCTATAGAGTATTAAATTTATAATTGCAATAAATTAAATAAAAAGATATTTTAATTTTGAGGTGAAATTGATATAATCATTATTTAATATTTATAACTACTATAAGTTTTGAATAAATTTTAGTTTAAATAGTTATAAGAAAATGCAAATTATGTATATATGTATTCTTATATAATTATATTACAAATTTTAATCCTAATCTTAGATAGAAGGCAAGCAAGAAGGTAGTGCTTGGAGCAAAGAACTAAGAGAAGAAATTGAGCAAAGAGAACAACCTTTGTCTCTAAAGACTTGATGAAATTTTAGAATTCTTCACAAGTTGTAGGCATCTCAAGGCTTACCAAGCCTAATTTGTGGTAATCTATTTATCTTTAAATAATCAATTAAGTGTCTTCTCATCTCCTTTGGGGTGTAGCTAAAATCAATGCCACTTTCATTCTTTGTAACAACTTCTAGCACGTTTACATGTAAAGATTTTTTCATATAAAACTTATTATTACAAGTCCTTGTTTCAATGATATTATAGCATTAAATTTGAATTGGACTAGTTTTGTTTGGCGTTGTAACAAGATTCTGAACTTTCATTTTTTTGAAGTACACAGTAGCATGGTTATTTTACTTTTATGAGTAGACTTGCCCACATGTTGAAAGGAAATGAATGGCCTTCCACTAGTCTCACCAAGATCCAAAACATCTATGGTTTGAAACCATTTTTGGGATACCAAAAACCCTTAAATGGTAAGACTAAGTAACATGGTTAAATCCACCCCAAATCTCCCAAATTATAAATGTTGTTCGTCAATAGAGATTTAAGAAAATCTCGTCTTGTTCTATAGGTTGTTAAATAAAACTAGTTACTTGGTATTCATGATTAACTTTGGAGTCAATTTTCGTAACGATCTTGGTCAGTCAGGTAACTGATCACTTAATGATTCTGTCTCAAAGGCCTCACAGCAAAATATAAATTTACCCACTCAAGCTCATGTTCAAGAGCGAGCGGTAAGGAGGGTTCCTCATACCAAATATATGTACAGAAGGTACGATAGAAATAAGAACCACAGAAGCTGCAGATGTGATTCTAGTCATAATAATCCCGACTGTCATACCTCTCATAGTGAGCAAATACATTGAGAGAGGGTAAAATTCCTTATGAAAAAAAAAAAAAATCTAGGTATTTCACGAATATGTTGCTTGAGGCAACAAAACTCTCCTAACTTCGTATCTTTAGTCTGTAGATAGATCAACAAAATTACTTATACAATGACTGCTTCATAGAACCTCGTCTGGTGCCTAGTGTTCTTCGAAAAAAGTTGTCCTAACCGAGCCTTGCGCATGCCAAATGTTAATATGAAGGCAGCCGGTGCTCTGGAGGTATGGTGCTGTAGAGACGTTTGATGCTGAGGGCTCGACCACGAATAGAGGCTAAATCAGCAGCGATGATCTGCAAGCGAATATACCAGCTCAGCATTCTCACCAACGTTCGAAATGGACAATCGGATTACACGAAAGCGGTGGAGAGGAATGTAGGAACAACACTTTGGCTCACAACCAAGGTCTCATGCAAAAAGTAGATAGGTCAAAGAATAGCTCAAGAATCCATCATTAAAGCAGAAACTTAACTGAAGTACCTCACAACTAAGTTGAGCCCTCATTTGCAGCAGCAATCCTTGAGAGCTTAAGGGATACTACTTGGAAACAAGAGAGGAATGTTCTATGAAACAACGAGAAAACTTGTTTTGTACCATACCTTAGTACAGTTGCGAAGATCTAGACTCTTTAGAATAGTACATCCCTGAAGGGCAACTTCAAGCATCTGAAACTCGATTCCACAGCCCTGTGAATACACAAAAAGATACACAAAACGCCAATGGGTAAATGTACATCAAGAGTTGAAGTGGGTATTACTGCGATCTAAACAGCTCCAAATCACCAGATTAAAAACTAACAAAGGGCACAAATCATCAAATAGAGCAAGCGATTTTCTGAACATGCCAAGTACCAATTTTACTGACCAACTGTAGCACAAATCAACTGAATAACTTCAGCTGTGTCACAAGGTTCCGAACGGACAAGGAAGAAAACAGCTTACGTGGAGAGAAAGGGTCAGGAGGCGGGGACATTCCAAATTGAGCACTGAGAGAGAAGCACAGTTGCTGGAAAACATGCAGACAAGCTTCAGCATTCAGTACCAAAGCCTTGCTTCTTAAATCATTGACAACACAGGCTACTATGAAACGGTTAACGTTCCTAAATTGGAAAGCACATATTCACTATAAGCTACAGTTTACAAACGCAAGGGTGAAGTTACGAAATCGCTTCAAACAAAAGGAATAAAAATAAAAAAGAAATCGCAGGACATCTGAGCGGATATATGATATCATACCTCAAGTTAAGTGACACAAGATTAGTACATGCGAGATAAACTTCCCGAATGTTAGTGGAGAGCGACAGGCTGATTGTAGAGAGATGAGGGCAAGCCTCTGCCACTAATCTAACAGAGCGAACATTTTGACAGCCAACGCAACTCAAGCTCTGCAGTGCGCGTTCAGAAGTAGAAAACTCAACGCTGCTCCGATTTCCAACAACCACCTCCATTGCAGAGTTAGCATCCCTTGCACTGCCCTGCTCCGCAACCAAGTCAACCATGTCTACACTCGTAGGAAAAACGTCCATTGAATCAGCCGGTTCTAGAGGTTCTTGTCGTGAGCAAAGATGAGCCCATAAATGATCAGTCACACTTGCACAGCCATTGAGGCTTATGTGAACCAGATGGGGGCATTCAGTAAGAACAGTTTCAATGGCCCTCCGACCCAAGCTGCCATATGATATGTCCAGTTCTTGAAGTTCGGGGAGCTTCTTGCCACCATGCAAAGCATCCAGAGCGTTTTCCTCAAGATACTTACAAGCAGATAGTCTCAAGACCTGGACACATAAACGACAAATCATTACATTGAATTTCGATATTCGAAGAAATTATTTATACGAAAGAACCAAGCATTCTGCTTTTGTTCCTAGCCTATCTGCTTAGTTGCAGAACACACAACAAACTATTGTGCAGGCATGCAACACTAAATACAATGAAAAGATTTTAGAAAGTGACAATGCAGAGAGAAAGGTGTAATTTTCGCACCTTCAGACGGGGGCAAGCTTCAAAAATTGGTGATAGATCAGTAAGAAAAGTGTAGGAGAGGTCTAGAACAGTCAAATCAACCAGTTTCTTCAAAGCCAAGAGCCCCGCAGGACCAACTAAGAAGCATGCAGCCAAGACGAGTTGCTGAATTGCTGGGCAAGCAGAGGTTGTGGTCGCCAAACACTCGTCACCCAATTTACTGTCGAGCATCAGATGAAACCTATCAGCTAGATATGAGGGAAAAAAATGAATATATATATATATATATATATATATATATATATATATATATATATATATATATATATAAATATATCACATGCATCACAAAGACATTTAAACTAGCAAGATGCTGAAAAGCATCTATGCCAATCCTTCATAGGGGCTATCACAAACCTGCAATATGAAGCGTCTAAAGATGAAAGACTTGGACAATCGATGATCGCTTGAGAAAGAAGTCCACAACCCCGCAAATCCAAGGCTATCATCTGATCGGCCTTGATTACCAGATTTGTCAGATGGGGGCAGATGCCAAGGTTCAAAGACAATAATCCAACTGGAACAAAATAGGCATCTATCAGACGGTCACACCCATCCAAGTGAAGGTGCTGGAGCCCAATGCACGACAGCTCAAGGGTCGAAACCTTTCTGCAACCCACTAATGAGAGCTTCTCAAGAGATGCAGTACAGAGCTTCACTTTCACCAAGCCCTGTACAACCATACTCTTGTCAGAAAATCAGAAATCATATTAAGACACTTGCTGATTGATACTGTACCCAAGTGATGACATAAGTGAACAGAAGAAACGACCGAAAAAAAATTGGATCGAGTACAATTCAATCCAAATTATAAAAAGGGTTTACAAGATCAAAGAATAATGCAGGCAACGTACATCACAATTGTCAAGAACCAGCGTATTCAGTTTTGGGCAGCCTCCTCCTTCGCTGAAAACGTTGCAGACCAGGTCTGTCAGAGATTCACAGTCAGAGAGGTCTACAACTCGTAGCCAAGGGCAACGCAAAGCCAAACTTGCCAAACTCGATTGATTTTTCAGGTCAAGTCTCTGTCAATAACAAATACAAAACCGCAACTCAGTAATGTCGACTTAAATTCGTGCAATAATCAAATACATCAATACAAATGTTCACCTCAAGCAGGCACAGCGGTGGTTGGGTACCATTTTCACACTTATGTTTTGACAAGTTTATGCGGCTAAAACTGGCAAGGGCGAAAGTTATCAAAATTACCAGCAGACTGCTGGAAGCGAGGTCGATGTGATTAAGAGCGGGACAATTAGTGAGGTTGAGCGAAGCAAGAAAAGGACTGCGTAATGTAAGCTCCACCAACCTGTAAGTTCACTTTAGATAGGTTACAAACTCGGGAATAATGCATTCCAAGATCTAAGTCATGTATGACGTTCCAGAAAAATTACAGGGTCCTAGTTGAGATAGAAAACCAATCCTACTCGGTTAGACAGCCACATTCATCAAAGAACATCATCACACAACCTCAGATAGGATTCACAACTCAACTTCGTAAAATTCATCAATAGGTGATAACTTCGCCATTGTATGAACTCTAGTTTCACAACAAATCACCAGAAGCTTTGTGATTATTCTAATACCTTCAAGACTACGCCATCAAAACATGCTAACTGTATTAGATACATAGTATCCTAAACCAAATACCAAGAAGCACTAATTATACAACATGAATTCAACTTATTTTGACGTAACACTATAAATAACCCCACAAGTAATAGAAATATAGAAGAGTACTTCTTATTATTAGCCAAGCTGATGGATCGCAAATGTGGCAGGTCGAGAGTCACCGATGTAAGCAGCCAACAGCAGTCCATAGCCAACACCTGATAAAACCTCCAGTAAATCAGGCGATTTCTGCGTCTTCTATACAAGATTAGTTTATTAGATATTTTGGATATACTTCAAGTGCTCTCTAATTCTTCAACGAACTGCAATTTTGAAATTAAATTCTTGGAAAAAATTATTGTTATCAAACCTACTTGAAGCAGATAAGTAGTCGTCACAAAAGTCCCACTTCAAGATTATAGAACACAAGAATCGACTTCTTAAATGTCGTTTAAATGTCGGACCATTGAAGAAAGCAGTACTATTTCTTTGCAGAATAACCATATGTTTAGAGAGCCAACCATATTGAGTCGTGATTGTAAACTTAGTAAGTAAGCGCCGCATTAATCAAACAAAGCAACAGAAACAGGCCTTCTAGGAGACAGTTCATACCTCGAGCATTATGCAATGTGAAAGAGCAGCCATAGAGGAGGAGTTAATGCCTTCACAATTTTGCAGTCTAAGCTCTGTCAACATGGGCATGCGCACTCCCTGCCAAATAAAATCATCAATTGTACATGGTTTACTCTCCACAGACAGATGCTCAAAACAACCTTTATTCTTCAAGATAGTACAAGGTTCGACAGGACATAGATATGCTGTAACCTAAAGATAAGACCAGTGTCATTGTCGCTTCAGATGATCAAGCAGTTTTCAAGAGTAACCAGATCAAGTTAACTCCGACATTTGCCCAAATCATATGGGAAAGGAGAAGGAGAAAAAGAATGTGATTTACACGAAGTTTTATCAGAAACAAAGGGTGGAGGGAGGACAGAAGAAGAAGATAGCAAAGAAGATAATCGTGATGATAATAATGATAATGACGATGTCGGTGACGATAATAATACCTCAAGGGAAATATTGGAACAGTTGGAGGCATCAAGAATCTCAAGATTTGGGCACGCAAGAGAAACCTCGCGAAGAGTATCATCAGTGACATACGCACAGCTGGAAATGTTCAAAGATGTCAGCAGTGGACAGGCTATTGCGGCAGCACGAACTCCAGCATCCGAAAGCTTGTGACAAGACGAGACATTTAAGCTCGTAAGACGAGGGCAATGCAGCACCGCAGAAGCAGTACCAGTTCGATTCAGCGAAAGTTCCTCCAGTTGTGGACACCTGTTGTACAAAAATTACGCATGGGGAAAAACAAAAGCCCCGATGTGTGGTATTAGAAGAATGCACAAATCTACAATAAGTTAACGATTGAGGAATCAACATATCTATGACAACGTCACAAGCGTGATCATGATATAGAAATTATGACCTAATGGCAAGTCGGAGGACCCGGCACTTGATAATTTGCAGTGAACGTAAACCTTCATGTCGTAGCTGCACTTCTTGAGCACCTCCACTTCCCAAGCTAGCATCCGTTATACTCAAAGTGCGTAAAGATGCAGAGTTAGAAATTGTAGAGAAAAACATTTCATCCAGCAAATTTCCACCCAATGTGAGCACCTCCAGGTTCCTGCAAACATACATAGAAGGCATCTCAAGGACACGAGATGGCAGTTTGTACCAATTTGCTGAATTCTAATTCTGAGCTAATTAAGTTCGCAATAGAAACCAAGAAAAAAAATTATTCACTGGTAATATCACTGGTGAGTTAAGGTCTCAACAGTAAGATGCGAAAACATCAGAACGTTTTGAGATACAAAATAAGCTTGTCAAATCCATCGAAATGAGACGGAAGCTAGTGTATTTAGTTCTCGTCTTATACTCGACAATTAAACAAAATGCACCTGAGAGAACGCATAGCATCAAGGATCAGCCAATCTTCAACATTGGCTGTATTCTTCAAATGTAGCTCGGTTGCCCTTGGATAACGAGCGCACACTTCCGCAACTGCATATACTCACGGAATGTGATCATAGACATGTTTCTCAACTATTTCGACATACAATCTCACGCAGTGGAAAAGAAACAGTACCATCATTCAAAATTAGTACTACGGTATAAGAAAGAAACTGGAAAGAGGTAGAATTACCCTAAATATCTCATATTTGTAGAAGGAACTGGCCTTAATGCAATGTAGATGGTACCTTGCGCATTTGTTACTTTGCGGTACTCAAAATTCAATGATTTCCAAAAATCTTCATGGACACTTGCTGCACGCCACTGTCTACAAACCAAAGCCGCGTGACATAGAGTGATATGGTCCAAACAGGAGAACACCTAGAAGAGCAGAGACACCATTAGACTTTGCATATAGACACAAGCATATGCCTGCAGGAAAAAAAACATTTAACGTCTGGAATACATACACCAATAAAACCACACTCAAGCCACACACAGGTGACCCTGCTCATTCTCAGAGTGTCGAATCAAATTTCTGGACTGGTTAATGCACCTTGATGAGCAAATCGTCGGTTAGATCAAAGCGTGATCCATTAACCTTCGCCTTTTCGACGTTGCTATCCTCACTCCCATCTCCGGCATTGCCAGACTCCATGTTGCCCTCACTTCTATCCAGCAACTGCGATGAGGGATTGGAAGGGGGACCTATTGATGAACTCTCTCTGGGAAAACCTTCGAATTGCAACGACTGACAGCTGGATGAGCTTGAGTAGTCTACTGAAGGTCCACCTGCACTGGCACTTAGAGGATGTTGTCGCCTGCGCATGAAATTCAGAATACTGTTGCTTAACTGCTGCACTTTGAGGATCTATTTACATACTATAATTAGTAAACATATACTTCGGTAGAAAATTCCCCAAACTAAGTTTAAGATACCATGGAACCACATGCATCCTGATACCACAAAATCGAGAACAGGTGAAGTGCATTGCAGGTACTTACGAGAGGAGAGGAAGGTACTTGACACGTTTTCGGTGGTTATGCGGTGGTGTCGTCGGATTCTGTAGGAGTGATCGTGCATCCGATCCAGGACGCAGATTTCGAATCTCCTGTTTATAATATTCCTCCAAGCTTTGAAGGGAAGTTCTCTCCATAGATATAGTCTCATGTTGCTCGTTCCCAACTAGAAGATTTCTCTGAATATGTGAATAAAAAAGCAATTACCTTTACATTTTCCTCATATGGCTTCCTTACAACTGACAACTTGGGGTTCTACATCTCACATCATCAAATTTTGTTGCTTACATATACACCAAAAATAAAATAAAATAAAATAAAATAATTACGGGAACCATGTGCACTTCAGCCCTATTCAGCAAATTATTACGCAGGGTCAAAAGACTCCACTAGTGCCAGTTCAGCCCTTTGGAGTCCAGTGCATACGCCATCGAGAGAAGTAAGTGTGCTGGCTGAGGTTTCATCTTAAATCACAATAAGTACTTGACATACCAAAACGCGCTGAACTCACCATCAAAGAAGGCTTCACGAATTGAGCCAGGTCATCATCGTAAGACAAAAATCTCTCTTTCAACTTTGGAAGCGGAGCGTAACCAATTGGACTGTCAAAAGCCTGTGCTTCAGGCTCAGTTTCGGGTATCTCGGAACCTCCTAAAAGGTTTCCGTGCCCTGACGCGAAGGTGTAGCTGGCTTCAGCTGCTTCACATAATAATGCTTCATCGTATGTCAGCTGCTCGTCTGCGCCATGTCTCCAGAAACAAGGGCTGTGATGCGGCGAAAGTGATAACGAGGCGGAAGAACTTCGACCTTCATAAGTTTGACGGAATCTACTAACGCTTGGTTCGTTAGGCAATGAGTAGCCGAGATCAGTAAGCATTTCATCATCTTGCAGCAATACTGTACCTGGAACTTTAGCCTGGTCCGTGTCTATGAATTCTTTCCTGCTATTGTCATGCTCACCAACTTCGGACGAAGGGTTCGGTTCACCACCTGGTGCAATTTTGAGCATGTAGTATAATCATGAATATATTTCGAATACGCGACTGACGTGAGATCAAAACAATATTTGCAGAGTAAATGAATCAAACAATACGCTGAACAATGAGAGCTGTTCCACATGAATGAGACGTTCAGCGATAACCATCGCTTTCAAGCTGTGGCGAAAGTAAACCCCTCACAATGGCTGATGTGTACAAGTACCACGTGATCTCACGCGATTAAGCTTTAATTGCTAACAGGAATGGGTCATATGCTCACCATTTGTGAGCTCAGGTCGAATAAGTAACCCATCAGCCAGCCAGGGTATGCCGCCTTGACTATCATCGGCGGCCATTCAAAACTATGTTGTCTGCAGGTGCAGAGATAATCAATTCCTGAGAGGGACAAACCTACGAAACACGCAGTTGTGGCACCGCAGGCATCATATAGGAGATTCTACATATATAACAAGGAACCAAAAAAATACTATTTTATTTACATGATAGAAAGACTCAAACGTGTAAGGAGGTGCTGAATGAACCTGACATGCCGCATTTGACCCAAATCAATTATACAGAAATCCCTAAATGAAATCCTCCGATCAGATGCTGAAACCGCACTTACTAACAGAAGCAATAGTCCTCTTAAAAAAATTAGGGTATGTACTTGTCCCAAACTGATAAAGAAAAATGAAAATAAACGCTTCCCAACAGCAGCAAAATTACCACGACAGGCTATTCTGTGAAGTGGACTGTACCTTAGGTACAACGGAAACGCTTCACCCGAAGCGAAGACCTCACAACATTCAGCTTCTTTCAACTCCTGACGGCCCCATAGCGAAAAAAAAAAAAACAAAAAACAAAAAACAAAAAAAAACCAATTGACACACCAAGAACAGACTATCTCAGGACCCGTCGCGGCATCAAGGGATCTCCACCTGGGTCCGCATCAAAGAAAGAAGTGAAATCCTTTCCAGGTCTGCCCAAAGCTACTGTTAGAAATCTCCGTGATTGCGGCGAGCGTAACCGAGCGTCCATCACAGCGCGACATTCCACCGCACACCTGCCGCTCTGAAAGTCCCCCACAACACGTTCTTTGCCCCATGCAAGATCTCCCACCCAAACCACTTCCAATTCAAACACGAGATGCACGAAAGGTACGCAGCGGGAGGCAAGCGCTTGCGCATCCTGGCACTACAAAAACCTAATTCCGCGGTTCAGGGCCGTGTCGGTACTCAACTTTCCTACGCTTTTTTCCACGCAGCTCGGTACTTGTCCACCACAAACACAAATCGTTGACAAGTGGGCGTGTCCTAAAACCCCAGAGGGTGACCTGCTCAGCCTCGTCTTGGGCCACAAAAAGGTGACAAGAGACACCTTTCCACAATCCCTCACAGCCAAGAGTCCCAAACCCACACACAAGGGGAAAACGACAACACGCCCACTTTCGCATCTGATCTCTCACACAAAATAACAAGGGCACCGAATAATTTCCTGCATATAATCCTCTCTGGATTGGACGATTTCGCGACCATTATCAGTTATAGCACCACGTCAGGTTGTCGTAAAAAAAACTCACCGCATGAATCCCGGATTAGTTTCGAGTTCAAGGGAACGGCTCTCCTCCTCAAGTTTGAAATTTGCAATTTTGTCAGAAAACCCCTCCACGAGGCTTTACCGACTCACCCAAATTCCCTTTCATTTCTCTGAGCTTCAGCCGCAACGTCAAAGGATTTTGTTGCACTGAATTCTACTGCTGCTTGAAGCAATTCCCTTCATAATCATTTCCAGACCCACATCATGGATTGCGGTGATTTTACCGCACTCGACTGAAGTTCATTACCCGGGAACTGCCACGCGGAGGCATGGCTGAGGTGTCCGTAACTTCCTTTGCCTCTGCCACGTCTGCTTCCACGTCACTGATTTGTATTCTTTGCTGCCAGCGTGTAATCTGCTGCATTGGTGCGTTCATTCTTTGTCCTCCCCCCCATAAAAAAATGATATTTTGTGCCATGATTGTGAAGTGATTTCCAAGTTGAGAATGGAGCAAAATTTTAAATTGCACAAGTTGTTATATTTTATATGACTAGTGGAAACCCATGCCATTGGCTACAAATATTTTCTGAAAATTATGATTGGGAGTTTTTGAGCTCCATGCGGAGTGATTTTGCAGTGCTACTCTCGGCAATTTGCAGCAATAGCTTGTAGATTTTGATTTATGATTGATCAAAAGTTGAGTTATTGCTTCATTTTTGTTTAATTTTTGATGAAAACAATGAGATATGCAATCAATCAAAGATATATATATATATATATATATATATTAAGAAGTTATAATATTCAAGTGAATATAATAAATAAATCATATTAAAACTATGATATTTAATTTTTTATATTATATATGTATATATATATATATATATATATATATATATATATAACTCAAAGCATAATTTAAAACTAATTATTTGCAAATTTACATATATTCCTATAGGTTGGAGTAATAGTTATTACTTTAAAACAGTTTATGTGTATTTTACCATCGTCAAGTATTAATTATAAAAAAAGAAGAAAAAATTATAATAACTTGTACAAAAAAATATTTTAAATTATATATATTTATATATATGTGTGTTTGAAGACTTTTTTTAAAATTAAATTACTCCATGGATTAGAAACTGAATATTTTTATAACTATTTAAAAATAATAAAATGTGTAATTAGATCAAATGAAAATAAAAATGATTTCATATCTAATCAATGTATTTTTAGTTTTAGTTATTTTCTTGAATATAATCTTAATCTTTAATAAGGCGACATTCTATATTGTAGTTTTCTTGGTCCATGCATTTTTAAGAAAATAGTCTTTCTTTTTTTAATCATAGTTTCAATCATTGTTTTGTTTTGATTATAAAATATCTTGTTCTATCTGTATTTAATTTTATTTGTAAGTTTATTTTATGTTAATCTAAAAAATTCCTTAAGAAATATATAAGTTTAATTGAAAGAAAATTTATTAAGAGTCATGAATGAACAATATGTTTAATTAATTACATTTGTTTAATATTTACAACACCAATTAGCATCATTTTAATATGATCAATAGAGATTTTGGAACTGGTCTTATATTCTAGTTAGTTGCATTTTCTTAATACATGCAATTTACTTCCAAATTTGGTTATTTTTTTCTATTCATTATGTATTTAAATATAGAAGTAAATATTTTATACCCTATTTTAAATATATGCCTGTAATTGGATACATATGATCAAATTTTGTATGTATGTTTATTTTTGTTTGTTAAGGTAAACATGCAATAGTAATTCGGTTTTGTATCTAAAGTCTTTCTTTTTAGAACTCAAAATCTTATAAGTAAATATTTATTTCTTTCATTTCTTCTTAAATTATTTGGTTTTATATTGTTAATCTGGTTCAATTTAGAAACTATATAATGATTTTGTAGTTTAGAAACTATTATTTAAATCATAAAGCAATATTGTGTATAATATTTTATTAATAAAATAGAATTTTATTTATATTGATTTTATAAGATTTAAATTTAGACTATTCAATTATTAATCAAGAAATAAAATATTGTACAATGAAATATTGTATAAAGATATACAATTTATTTTAATAAAAACCAAATTGTGTATGTTGTTATCAAATACAATTCGAATTGGAAAAAAATTCAAAGAAGTTATAATTAAAATTATTAATAATGCTTAAAAATCATCACAAAAGTGATGAGTCATCATTGTTTATAAATTTAACTTAATACAAGATTTCATATTGGAATTTAAAAATTAGTTCGAAACATTTTTATGTATATATATACATATATACATACATAATTGTTATTAAACTTCATATAAAAAATTTATAAAATTACAAAATTATTTTATTTTATTATATAAAACAATAAATATTCATAAATTTACTTAAAATAGTAATACTATATTTAATTGTGAAAAAAATAAACGTAAATATAAAAAATAATCAATAAAATAAAAGTTAAAAAAGATTCTTGTATTTTCTTATAGTATTATGGAATGTTATTTTATTGATTATTTTTTAGGTTTATGTTTATTTTATGTAAAAATAAGAAACCAGATATGATTATCTTTTATGTTTATGTTTATTTTATATAAAAAATATTCTTGTATTTTCTTTTGTAACTTTTTAGATTAAAATAAAATTATTTTTATTATAAAATATTAATTTTTCTAAATGTGATTAGAAATAACACTATTCTTTTCTTTTTTTTAAATCACCTTTGTGTACATAAGGTTTGATAAAAATGTGTTGAAACCTAAAGATTTGAATTAAATGTAAACAATTTTTAAATTTTAATTTTGAGTTATAAAAATTTTAAATGTATTTTTACTTATATCTATGGAGTCTTTGAGTTATGGTAGTTAAGATTTAATAAATATTTGAATCAGCTATCTATAACATTTGTAATTCTTATGTTGTAGTAAATTTTACTTTAAATTATAAAGCTGTATTTTGAATAATACAACTAATTTTTCGATGCTTTTTTTCTTTTTTTCATTTCTCTTTGAAATTTCAAGTCTGGAGAATTGTGATTTGTATATTAATTGCATTAGATAAACATTATTTACAACCATAAAATTTTATATTTATCTAACTGATTTAAAAATTGACAAGATACAGATGTTGGAACAATGAAATATAAACTGAATCAAAATACCAACGTGGTAAGAAGAATAAAAAAGTTATTTTAAATACTTTTTTGAAGATACCACAAAATATTTACCGGCTTCATTTAGATTTATTTAATTTTATCTTTGAAATTAAGAAAACTATATAATAACGGACACAAAAATCCTTTTTTGTCTATTTATTTATTTACCAGTACCGTTCTCATGGATATATGAATATATATATATATATATATATATATATAGATAGATACCATTCTCATTGGAAAGATAGAATTAAATCAAAATTATTACTTAATGCATTAGATTTGTACAAAAGTTGAAATTGGTTAAATAGAACAAAATGAAAGCTGATAGAACTCTCTTTTCTAGGGGCATTAAGTATGTTTTTATTTTATTTCTTTTTTTTTTATTGTTTTCTATAATAAACCAAATCTTACAATGACATAGTAGACCATTAAATTTTTTAGAAATATGGAATAAAGAAAAAAATAATACAAGATACAACAACTACATTGTACATATATGTTGCAAAGTAAAACATTATCATTTGCAAGGTGCTTCCATAAAGAAATTTTGCAACAAAACTTTTTTTTATTAATAAATGGCATATGAAGATACTAATGAATGTGGTTAAACACACATAAAACAAATTACAACCTTAAGTATGCTTTATTATATTCAAAAAACCTTTTGTAGAATTTTTGATTTTTGGACTACTTTTTTTGAGATTTATGTATCCTTTAAAAAGTACTAAAATCTTTCTATAAGTTTCCATAACCTTCTATAGTTTTCTAGAATTTTTCAAGAAACAATTGCAGTCTTTTAAAAGCTTTGTAAGTCCCTTGTAACCATTTAGAACTTTCTTTGGTCTTCTAAAACTTTCTAAATAAAAATCTCTTGATCTATAAAATTTATTTAAATTTTAGATCTTTTAAAAAACAATCATATAGAATCTACTTGCTATAATAAATTCAGAAAATAAGTCAAATAATATTTTAATGTTATCAATACAAATTTAAAAGAAATCTAAGTCGTCTTAAATTCCTAGTTATAAAACTAATTTTTATTTCAAAACTAAAAACTTATTTATTTTTATTTTTATGTAAATTTCTTGATCTTTTGTTCATTATCTTTGGGTTGTTGACAAGTAGCATAATAATATATTTCTAAAGAACAAAAAATATCTTTTACATCTTTCATACATATTTTAGAATAATAACTAAAAAACTATAAAATTAAGAATGAGTCAACTACATACATATAAAAATTAGAATGAAAAATTATTCTCTAATTGTAGTGCTGTCTTGGTTTTTTTTAAAATATTAAAAAAACACTATAGAATTATATTATTTCTTTATTTTTAAAACACTTGTCTCCTTTACATCAAGAAATTAGAAAATATCTGTTTTCATTGTGATTATATTTTAAAAGCTCATTTTATCTTAGATTTTGTATTTCTTTATTTTATTATTTATTATTTTATAAAAATTTAAATTTAATATGTTTCTATATGTAAACCTACTATTTTTCTTTTAAATTATTTTTTCTAATTGGTTTTGATCTTAGTTTGTTTATACATAAAATTATTTATACTTTATTCTTGTTAATTATTTACAACTTATAAATCTAATTTATCTTGTATTGAAATATATATATATATATATATATATATATATGTAATTTCTCAAATAAAAGTAACAGTCTTAAATAAAACATCATTACAAAGAACTAATATACATTCCTTAAATAATTTAAGTAGTAAATACTACAAAAAGTTCAATTCATTTTTCACTAAATTTAGAAAATAAAATATACGTTTTTAATATTTTAATAAGTCTTTATTGGTATCAATATACCTTAGACATGCAATTCCACCAATAACCTAGTTTCTAAGTGTTAATATAAAGCTAATGTAAGCAACAAAGTTCATACAACAAAAAATAAATAAAGAATGACATGTACATAAACAAATGCCATGAAGAGATTGTTTTATAAGTTAATGCATCTTTGTTCTGACAAGAGATCAGTAGTGTTTTATACAAGTGTATAAATTTTTGTTTAAGAATGAGATTTTTTAATTTTAGAAACATGTTATAATTTTTTTTATTTTGTAAACAATTGATTGCATATTCCAACTACAAACCAAATCTAACTTAAAATTTGAAGGAGAAAACACTAATTATTCACCTATCATTTTATTTTTAAAAAACATTACTTGATGTAATCTAGATTTTTTTTTTTTATAACAGCAAACAATAATAAAACTATAAAATTATCTTTGGTTTATTTAGAGCCAATGTATCTTCAACATTGTCTTTTGAACCAAATCTTCCAAAATATAAATTCTAACACTTTGATCTCTATTAAAATATTTGGAATTTCAATTATCAATTATCAAACCTTGGACTTAGTAAAATCAAAAGCATGAAATTGAGAAACTTGTTAACTAAGTCTAACCCACCTCTCTTTTTCAGTCCCTCTGCTTATTCATTCATCTTCTTATCAACCTCAACTAATATGCTTCTTGCAACCTCTTGACTTCAGGTCACATGGTTCACCTCAGATGGTCCATTCCATTAAGATAAGTGTATCTATAACTAGAAAAAAGTTGTTCACAAGTTTTGGTTCATTCTTCTTAAATATGGTAAACTCTTGTGGCATCAAGTTTTTTTTCTTTTTAATAAATTAAAAATTAGACAAAATTTGAAATACAACCCCCTCTAGTTTGCACAAACCTGCATTCAAATGTGAACTCCTATTTAAGTCACTTTTGTTTTAAGAAAGAAAGAAAGAAAGAAAAAAAACAAAACAAAACAAAACAAACAAACAGAAAAGAAAACAGTGTACATCTTATTCCAGCAACGATCATTTGTCCCAAAATGTTCATGTCTTGAGTTAATATTCTTGAGTTGCCCTTTTGTTCCATTGTAAAATATCACATCCCAAGTCATTTGTCTTAATTCCTTGTATTAAGTTTTGCCAGATTTGAAAGGTCTGCAGTTTATAAATTGAAACGCTGGCAACTCCATGGAAAATAATAGATTCAGTGAAGGACACAAACTGATTTCTGAGGGCAGAATTAACTTTTTATCATCATTGTGCTGTAGGCTGGAAATATTGCCTCAACTTGGACCATCCCCTACACATGATTGATTACATGGTATGCATTTAAATTCAATGATAGTGTCCTATCTTTTAATTCAATTGACCAGATACATCTGATAACTGGATTGAATCAGAACCTAGAGCTGAGAGCATATCACAGCAAAAGAAGCTATGACGTTACAAATGTGTATATATATATATATATATATATAATATTCTTCTATCACCAATACCACTAAAAATAAAGATAATACATGTACATGTTGTTTGATTTGTACTTCGATAATTAGAATGTCAAATTTGATTAAACTCCCTCAAGTCACCACCAAGAGACACCATTGTGTAACTCAAACCTCAACCTTGTAAATACACAATACAATGCTACGTATTAAACCCCAAAAGGCATACTCAAAGATCCTACTACAAAGATCCAGTTTGTTTCTTGTAAACTCAACACTCGTTAACATGAGAGGAAGAGGAGAAGGTTAGTCTTAAGATGAGAGTAGGAAAACAAAGATGGACAAGCAGCAAGAAGCATGAAAAACAAGAGTTGCAATCGAAACCTACACTTCTCTGAAGGTAAAAAAATAAAATAAAATATAATAAAAACGTTACCCACTCCCACAAGCCAACTTACCAGATTTGATGCTGTGAGGTAACCAAGGCAAATTTTTTACTCCATTCATTTTTGTTTTTGTCTCACCATTAATAAGATGGGTCTGCTTCCTGAACAGGCCATATAGCTAGGACTCACACTTCCTGCTCATGTACCAAATGTGCAGGTGGAGCTAGTGCTCAGGACAAAGTCATATTCAGATGAAAGGCCCGTCGCCAAACTGAATTGTGCAACCTTCTAAAGAGGCAAGGGCCGTGATGCTCTGAAGTATTTGTAGTACAACAGTTGTAGCGAGCATATCCTTGCTGTTTCTCACCCCTCACACTCTTCCTTACTAGTTTCAAAGGCTTTATCCTTCTGGCACATAGCAGTTCACTATGAAGGTTGCAGAGGATACCAATTTTAAGTACATGAAATGGAATGGAATGGTTGCAACAGTGGCATTGTTGAAAATTTTAGAATATGGACCTACACCAAGATTATCCTGCATCCATGGGGTCAAAGAGTCGTTGCAAGTAAATTAATAAACACTTCAGTTGCTTACGAACAAAGAAATCATACATTCAGTTCATACCCCTCAAAAAATTGAACTTGGCGATACAGAATCAACTCTACGAGTGAAAATAACATGAACATGAAACTAGAATATAAGAGCAAGCGAGACAAAGTAAACCAAGTTGAAAGCAGCCTCAATGTATATCAGACTGAGATTCAATTAAAAAATGACCGACATGTTAAAATGTCTTCTATACCTTACAAAAATCAAAGAATTTCACTCGCCACAATTGCTACGTCCCCCTTGTGGGCCAAAATGCTTTGGATGCAAGTCTAAAAAAATTAACTTTAGAGGATGTATTTCTGACCAGTTCGTATTTTACTTTTAGACTCGATGGAGATGCGAAGGAGACAGGGTTTCGGTTACACGTGACTGGCCTAAATCTAGTGCAATATACTAGATCTCAGGTCCTTGATTCTCTTAATCTAAAAGGGCAGAAGCGAGTTGATATTACATTTGAACCCACTTCTGGAAAGAATTGACTCTGCTAAAAAGAGAGCGTCAATGAAAAGGGTACACAGTACCCGGACATGTTCTATTGCAACAACCCAAGGGCTTCACTACGAGGGTTATGATGCTGATATCTCTTTGACTCTTGGGGACCCTGTTGCTGAGTGCATGTTAACCAAAAGGTCTGGTGTGGCCAACATGGGCAATGAATGGCTGCAATTGGCAGACAAAGACTTCGAATGTTTTAACACACCGTTGGATTTTGGATGATGTGCTGAGCCGTTACGGAACAATACATTCATTCTCGAGGTTCCAGAAGTTCCGTTCCCACATTTGGAATGATCTACAATCGATCTGTAGTTTACCATCTTAAGGCCGTCAGAAAAACAATCTTCCGCAATTGGCACACACAACGAAGATCTGGCTGATAGAATACGAAGAACAGCAAATACACATGAGGGCAATGAAATGTACATTCGGTCCGAAGGGAGATATGAAAGAAGTTTAGGAGCAGAGCAAGGTACTTACTCATGATTGATCATAGATGTCCCGTTCTTTGATGGCAATTGACAACCATTTGACAATGAAGCCTTAGATCCATTTAGCACTGTACAGCCGAGGTCACCAATTAGTTTCGATACCGCTAGTGGCAAGCTGTCAAACCAAACGGAACTTCAGGCAAAAAAAAGAAGAGAAGAAGACGTAATTTGAGTAGTCTGCTAATCCAAGCAGATCCAGCAAATCCCAACATAATGAGATGTAAAGGAAAGCATCATACGATATTCCGTAGTGCCATGGCAGTGGGTAGATGTAATCGAACTGCCGAGACCTAGCAAGGCCTGCAACGCATAAAAAAAATACGAAGAATGTGCTTTGAATCTGGAAAATGCTGCAAAGCAACATGGGGAAAAATAACTCTACCAAGTCATCCTGTCTGTACTCTTGGTAAAACCACCCAACAAACCATACACAGCTGTAAAGGAACTGGAGCAAAAATGGTCACGCATTGTCTACCTTCAGTTCTTCGTACGCCTGATCCAGCTCGGCATTCACAAGAATGTAATCAAATAGAGTGGGGTCTTTGGCACGCTCAAGCTCCTTCTTAGCGTTTTTAAGTCGCTTCTGTATTTGTTCTTCTGTCTCCGTGTCTCTGAATCAGCCAGGCCCAAACATACCATAACCACCAGCACATTGATGCATTGGCTTCATAGTCGAGTGCAAACATGAGCGTTGAATCTACAACTCATACACCTCGCACCACATTTCAAACCTCTGGGCCCACAGCGAAAGCTCACCTTCCTCGAAGCCGTTTTTCAAGCTCTTCTTCCTCAGGGGCTGGAGGCTTGATAAAAATATATGTGGCTTTCAGGCCACTGTTCCGCACTGCCTGAGCACCTTGAACATCAATATCCAATATACAGATCTGCGGGTTGCAATCAGGCACATCAATGTAAAAAAGCGAAACAACACAAACGACGTGTTTCTTCGCTGAAGTTCGCAAGGAACTTAGTTGTCATCGACGACAGCTAACGATCTCATGCTACATGTAGTGCTAATCTTAGGGCGACCTTAGAAAATGGCGCAAAGAGCGCGAAGTTCAGCGTGTGATTGCACCTTGCCAGCGTCAGCGACAGCCTCAACAGCAGCCCAGCTTGTTCCATACAAGTTGCCATGGACCTCCGCAGACTCCAGAAATTTGCCTTCCTTGATTTCTTGCTCCATCACAGGACGGGTGGTGAAATGATAATGCACCCCATCAATCTCCTTTGCTCGGGGCGCACGAGTGGTGTGGCTCACGGAGAAGCCGAACTTGTCCGGGAAGTCTTTCATCAACCTCCCAATGAGAGTGCCCTTGCCAACTCCTGAAGGCCCACATATAACCACCGGCCTCGGAGACTCCGACACGGAGGTCACCGCCTTCATACCCATGATGCTAAACAAACAAACAAACACAAAAAGCACTACAACTCTTGTGTGATACTCTCTCTCTACTCCTCAAAATCCGCCGCCTCTGCAACTCAAACCAAAACAACAAGGCACAATCCTGGACTTAAAAATGTCTCTCTACTCCCCACCCTCCAAAAAAAATAATAATAATAAATCTAAAATCTAAAATTTCAAAAGCACAAACCCCGCCCAAACCAGACACACACTCTCTTATCTCTTGTCCACCCCACCTGTCAAAGCACGAAATCCTCACACTCACAACACAATGTCCAAGAAAAATGAACTCACTAGTGCCCAACGTGTTGCCGGAATGCCTTAAGCAAAAAAACCAAAACAAAACTTATTCCCCTCACCACACACCCCCAGTCAACAGCAAAAAATATGAATCTCCTCCACCACTCCACAAGGAGAGTGGGGCACCAGGGGGGCAACTAGCCGAGCCCAAGTGGAGTGAACAGCACAAGTGGACTTGCATGTGTTCCAACCTTGCAGACACCATCAAACCACCCAGATTCGCCACCCTTTCCCTCGGTATGTAAAATAAATAAATAAATAAATAAGACCCAACAAAACAGCCCCAGAACTCACGTCAGGGGACGGCGACACAACGGAGACCAAGTATTACAACACTCCAAACTGGGTTCGAAGCCACTTTTCCCCAGGGGCTGCTACTGCTGCGATGGTTCTATCTAAACCTGGACCAATCCCAGGCTGCACCGATGTCAGCAGCGGAGAGGAGCCTGCCATAGACAAATATACATTGAGAGAATCCACCTCGTCATGACAACCAAACCTCGTCAAAATCTCGCAATCGTGTGAATGAATGAATGGATCGTCGTCGTCGCCCACTCCATTGGGTCATAGCCAGATGGACCATCGCGCCATAGCCAGCAGCGCTACAGCAATTAATCTCGCAATTCGTCGCTAACTGTAGATGTTCCTTCCTTCTTTCCTTCCTTTCTTTCTTCCTTCCACATCTCCTATGCTTTGACTCTTTTTATTTACCCTTCTTTTCTTTCTATATTTCTATCTTTTGGGGCTGTTTCTTTTTCTGTTTGCGTTCCCTTTGGGATTAGGGGAACGCGTGCTCATAATCCCGACGATTCGAACTTCTGCGACGCGCTTCCCCATGTCTCTATATCTTCATTCATCCTCTACTTGCTGGATTTTCATTCATCTTCTACTTGCTGGATTTTTCATTCATCCAGTCGTGGATCTGTTTGAACTGTTCGGGGATTCCAATTGGGTTCATTGTGATCATCCAATAAAATCAACTTAAAAAATAGCGTCAGGAAATATTGCAAAATGTGGTAAATATGAAATTTATGAAGTAACTCGAGTTAAGGAAATTTATGTATGTGTGTGTATATGGGGAAGGAATTATTTTTTAGGGAATTTTTATAAGATAACAACAAAAAGAAAAGACGCACCAAAAGATTACATCAAAAAGTTGCGCTTTCACCAAGTAAAGCGAGAGACAATGGCTAAGACAATAGGTCTATTTTCCACGTAGAAGACCACTTTGGAAGCTTCTAATGTAAAAATTTACGGTGGTGACATGGGTGCCAATGTGAGTATAATGTACATGGGTGCAATTAATAAAAATAAAAATAATAGAATAATAAAAAATAAATTATTGTTTGAGTGCTTTTTTTTCACCTACATTATTTTTATTCTATTTATTTTGTGTACTCTGTAATGATTGGAAATTGCATCACATTGTGTCTTATTTGAAATTGTGTTTTTCATTATAATATAATTTATTGTAAATTTCAAAAATATTTTGTTTGAAAAGTAAAACTATAAATAAATAAATAAATTTTAGAATCTAATAAGGTAGAAGTAGAAACTATATATATTTTAGAACCTAAAACAAAATTATACTATAAAACAAAAGACAAGATCCAAATAAGAATATGATACCTTTATAAGATGTTGTTGCACACAAATCTAGGTACACAATTCTTTTTGAATCTAGCAAAGTTTGTTTTTTAAGTACACCATGTTATTCTAAAATTGTATTCTTTGATTTGAGGTTGCACTGCTTCTTTAGATAATGTTGAGCAATGTATATTAATTTTCTGAAAGAAAAATATGATCTTTTTACTAACATTATTATTTTGTTTAATAATTTATTTGTTTCTTTGTGTGTGCATATGTACATGCTTTAAAAAAAAATTATATCGTAATTTCTATAAGTCTTCTACTTTTAACTAATTATTTTTAATGCTTTTGATTTTTACAGAAAAATTACAAAAACTTTTAGATTTATTCATATGACTTTTGAAATACATTTGAAGGAATTAATTATTATACTTGATAATAAAGAATTGTTTTTGATCGAATGTTTTAAAAATAGAGTAAATTTAGTTGTAATTTCTTCACATCATGTTGAAATTCGTACACAAATCATAAAGTAAGATTATTAATATACTAAAAAATGGATTATTTTTTTCCAAAAAAATTATATATATATATATATATATATATATATATATATATAATTAATTAAAAAAATAAAAATAAATCTCAAGATTCTAATCTTATTAGTTTTTGAACAAATTACATTATGAGTTCCATACATAGATCAAAATTATTTCAAACTTTTATTAAATTTGTTCAATGTTTATACTACTTCGAAAATCAGAAAAAATAAGTTTGAGTTAATCCCCTAAATAACGTTTTAATAAGTTTGACCTAAGAGTATGAAAAATAGATAACTTTGTGATTAGAGTTTAATAATAGCTTATCTTAGATTATTAATTTTGCTAAACTTGGATTTATTTCCATAAAAAAGTTTAAGAAAAAAATAGGATTTTAATTCTATAAAAATCTATAATAAGAATGATATGTTGAAGCAACATAATTTTTGAAATAGTAACAGCCATATTCGTTTTTTTGACGTTAGTTATTCTTGAAGTTGGTAGCTGTGGTAAATAATATTGATACATTGCAATCATGATTTTTTTAATTATTTGTTCATATGTTTATACTATAATTATTCCATCTAGGTTTATCATAGAAAAAACATTTAACACATTAAAAGATTTTACACAAGGAATAACCCGAAACCCGAGACCCGAAACCCTAATCAACCACATTTAAATGCCATTCTTTGCGGCAGTGAAACTCCAGAATCTTCTTGTGAGACAGCACACAAACAACAACAACAACAAACAACAAAGGGAAGGGAGGGAGGAGGGAGGGTCTCGTCCGGGTGTGTGTGGGTTGGTGTGTATTTTTATCTTACTTTCTAATGGGGGGGGGGGGGGACAGTGAGTGACAGTGCCACAACCGACGCTGCGGGGGCGAGTAAGAGTGAGAGAGAGTAAGAGTAAGAGAGTGAGTGAGTGAGTCCCCCACCTAGTTCCATGTGCGATGGATAAAAAACCCCTATGCCTTCATGTCCACCTTCAGGACATATGTTGCGCTTTCCGCCATTACCTAGCCAGGGTCTCGCAATTCCATGCCTGCCCTGCTGACTCCTCCCCCACACGGATGCGATGTGAGGCGGCGAGGAAGGGAGTGAGGACGTAAGTCAGTATGCAACTTACGTGAGAGAGAAAGAGAGCGATTCGCTTTGAAATCACTTTGACGCGCGGGATCCAGAGCTGCGAACGCGTGGAAGCGAGTGGGTCCAGGGACGACGAGGTGGCGCTGTCTGGCTAACTAACGCAGGCAGGCAGGCAGGCAGGCAGTGTCACACCGTCCGAAGTCACGGCGCCATGTGTTGATGAAGAAGCAGCTGCAAAAGCAAAAGCAGCAGCGCCTCCTCCTCCTCCACCTGCCATCGCCGATGTTCCTTTCTGAACGGGAATCATCCTCATCCCTACTGTTATTGTGGACCTTTTGAGCGCAATCTCTTGAAAGTTTCGTGACACATGTGTGGAATCTGTGCTTTTTTGTGAAACTCCCGTATTTCTTTCCTTTTTAGGTGCATATATGTGTTGTTTATTTTATGTTTTTTGGCGAATTATGGAACAAAAATCACAGGTAAATTGCATGCGTTTCTCAAATTAAGAATGAGGAAATAAACAACCTGTTGTTCTAGTTGGAACAAAGAACATGTTAATTATGCATATGGGATAGTAACCATGTATGTGTATAGTGCGAGGAGCAAGTTGTTGGTGTTTGTGGGTTGTTTCAAAATCTAATTTGTTTTCCACCAACAAACACAAAAATGCTTGAAAATGTGGTCTGGTGCAATTTCTAAGATGTACTTTGATATGGTTTCAATATTCTTGATGAAAAAGCAAATCTATGTTTATCATAATATTTTGATTATTTAAATAAAGAGAAATTTCAAAAATGCCCCTATAGTTTGCTGGAATATAAAGAATACCCATGTATTCTTGATAATCGCAAAATTGCCCCTCATCTAACCTACCCCTGATAATATCTAACCTACCCCTGATCCTGATAACCTCTCATTCAAAATCCAGATTTAGTGTGGACTGGGCCCAAAGTACGTGTCGCGCACACTTTGACGCGGCGCCTGTTTTCTCATGTGGTCTCGAATTCTTTGCCAACAGTGCCGCTGTTCTCTGCTTGCAATGCTTGCCATGCCCGCTGATAACTTGGTTTCCCACCATTCAATTCAACGAAGCATGAGGTTTCAGTGTAACAAAACTCTCCAGCATTGCAACATAGAACAAGATCACAACCAACTACAGCAACAGATGTTGACAATTTAATGTTTGAAATGTAACAAGGTTGTAATTAATGAATTATTTCATTTATTTATTAAAATACCACTTCTTTATCTCTTAAATGCATTTCAAGGGTATATATTTTTTGAAAATCTAATATGATGTATGATTTTAAACTCATTCAATATACAATAAAAAAATATATGAATTTCAAATTGGTTTGCTTCTGCATATGCTCACATGAAACCCTGCTACATTCCAGACATTAAATTGTCAACATCCGTTGTTGTATTTGGTTGTGATCTTGTTCTATGTTGCATTGCTGCAGAGTTTAGTTACACTTAAATTGCATGCTTCATTGAATTGAATGGTGGAAAACCAAGTGATCAGCAAGCAGCAGGTATGGCGAGCATTACAATTAGAGAGCAACGGCATCGTTGGTGACGCATTCGGGACCACACGAGAAAACAAACACAGTGTCGCATTGAAGTGTATGCGGCTTGTGGTTTGGGCCCAGTTTGCACTAAATCTGGATTCTGAATTAGAGGTTATCATGGTCAAGGGTAGGTTAGATATTATCAGGGATATGAGGGGCAGTTTTGCGATTATTAAGAATACAAGGATATTCTTGATATTTCAGCAAATTGCAGGGGCATTTTTGAAATTTTTCCTTGTTGAAATAATCTAGTTTTGAAAGGAGAAGACAACATTGAAAATTATTCTAAATTTTCCAACATGTCTTCAATGGAAAATTTCATATTTTTACAATCTTTATCATGAATTATTTTACTTTATGCACTCTCTTCTTATCATTGAGTGAGTGTAAATCACATCCATATTATTTGTTGATTGCATTGTACTTTAATTATCTAATAATTACAAAAAATAAATATTGTGCCACCGTGATGCAGTTATTTTTTTGACACAGAATGCAAAATAAACAATAGGACCAAATCATCGATGTATTAAAACATCAAGGAATTATCAACAATTAATGCAAACCAAAACAATGCTTGTTTTATAACATTTTAATAAGACACTAGAATTGGGACCTTTGATTTGCTTTGGAAGGAATGTGTTAGAGTGAAATATTGATGAATGACAATATAGAACACAACAATGAACCACAATACAAACAATGTAACCAAGAACTACACAAAACATATTTTTACTAATATCATCCATATATTTAAAAATAAAAATCTAGTAAATTGAATAACAAAGTAGAAAATCCACATACATACCAAAAATATAAATTAAAAAAATGAAGTAGATTATAATTGTACAAGAACAGCAGTAAACAAATACAAAAATATGACTAAATGAATCTCATGATATCAATTTGTGACATGTCTTTCATATTTCTATCTATTAAAAGCGAAATTAAAAAATAATCAGACTGATATCTGTGAAATTTGTATTTCGCCAAAACGCTTAAAAAATATCCACAATTATATTTCTTTTCGAATTATTTCTTTTATTTTCTACATTCAAATTCTGGAAAGATTGGTTTATTTATATATTTATTTTGATCAAGGTTGGACAAAGAAAAATAAATAAATAAACAAACAAACAAGATAAACATACAATTTCAAAACATGTGTCTAATTGAACAATTTGTTTGACTGACTCAAGTGTAACCACTTTCTACAATGGATCGACGTGCAACTAAGTGAAAAAAACTACACAACAATAACAACAACTACATGTATTCTACTTTTGTGAATTACTTGAAATTTGATCAACTGTAAAACCATTCACATTGCAAGCAAATCAGTTTACTTTCCAATTACAAAAAAAAGGTAATATTATCCTATCCACAGAATACACATCGGTAACCTATTTCACTTAGAACACGATAATTATAAAACGTTATTAAATACACGCTCATCAAGGTCACAGCAACGTTTACATACAATAGCATTACAGACTTATCTTTGGACATCTGTTGAAATTGCGAAGTGGGAACCCACAGGGAGAACGATCAACGAACCAGGGAAGCAAATCGAGGGTTTTGGATGGTTTCGGCAACATGGGTATCGCCGAATCACTCACGTAGATTTGGTGTCCGTCGATGGAAGTTGTGACTAAACACTTGAACCAGCTTAAAAATTGCGTTTCTGAATGTACCCATATCGAGAAATGGCGATGACGAAGGGAGCCATGGGGCAGGTGGTGATGGTGGCGATGCTGTCGATGTGTTTGGTGCCTGTCTCGTTTCTTGTCAACCGCATCGTTCCGGAGGTTTACATGGTAAGGATCCGGATTTGATTTTTGGGGATTTTTTAAGGGTGGGCAGTGCATTTTATCGATTCGTTTAGTACTGTGTGGGGTTTAATGTTGGCTAGGATTTTGTTTCCAGGACGAAATGTTTCATATACCACAAGCACAGGAGTATTGTAAAGGCGACTTTCACAAATGGGATCCCATGATCACTACCTTCCCTGGCTTGTAAGTTTGTTTGCGCATTGGTTAGTTCATGTTTTGGCTTTGCCATTGCACGTCGAAATTTTGGCTGATTGGTCTGTCTGATATGTTGAGCTTTAAAAGTTCGGATCTTCGATTTGATGAAATGGCATCCAGGACAGGTATTGTTTTTTTTGGAGTGAAGATGACTTCATCAAGGCAGAATTTCTGAGCCTAGGGTTCTGGTTGCAGGTATCTTTTGTCTCTTGTCTACGTAGGGATGGTTCTACCTGCAGCCAAATTCCTCCATGTCACCCCTTCGCTGTTAGAACTTTGTAACCCAGCTGTTTTGAGATCCGTCAATCTGGCGCTTTTACTCTTGTGCTCTTTATTATTTTTCAATATTATACGGCATTTGGAGCCAAAGAGGAGTGAGAGGAAGGCTCTTGCAAAGGCGTTTTTGCTGTCACTTTACCCTCTACATTGGTTCTTTGCGTTCTTGTATTACACAGGTCGATCTCTACTGTTCTATCTCTTACAATTTGACAATCCTATGAATTTTTTTTAACGCTCTTGCAATAGTGTCTTGAATGTAGTGTCTTGATTGCTGAAGAATCGTGTATTCTCTTGGTGTATAGATGTGGGATCAACGACTGCAGTTATGGCTATGTACCTGGCGGGACTAAAACGGGCTTATTGGATCAGTTCGCTGGTGCGTTGAGGTCAGTCGAATGAAATTGAGTCGGCTTTCAAACACTGTACTTGTATGGAATTCGCCTTTGAATTTCTGAGGCTACAGTCATATCCTTGAATTTACAGAATATAGGAGGATCATGGTTTCGGATGCGGCCTTGGGTTTTGCTGGATACTGACATTGCTGTTTTGCGCCTAGTGCAGTTAGCTGCGATTGCCGTCATGTTTCGGCAGACGAATGTTGTGTGGGTCATTTTCGTTGTTTGTGCTGGAATTTTGGACATGCTTAGCTCTCCGATGAACTCGAGCACCGATGTTCGGAAGGAGTTGACGGACATTCCATCCATTGATAGAACCCTTCGGATTCTCGCTACGGATTTAGAGGATTTGAAAGGAGTCCGTAGAAGGCGAGCAGCTCAAAACTCATCATTGAGTTTTATCAGCCCAGATACTGAAGTGAAACAGAAAGGTCCTCGCAAGTTTGAATCTCGAGGTAGTTCTTCCTGCTTCCTGATGACTATTTATTCTTACATTAGTTCATTGCATGACCAGGTTTCTGTTCAGAAAATTATGTCGCGCGGCTATGATTAGAATGACTTCATTTTGAAGCTAAGCTGAAATGGTTAATCTTGGTATTCTCAGAATTTGTATTGTTCTTGTGTAATGGATTTGGTGCCTGGGGCTTAGCAGGTCTTGTTTGGGAGGTGCACGCGCTTGTAAAACTGGCGTGGGCCGAAAGGACAATGATTCTTCAAAACTTTAGTCCACTAATCGCGGTGATTTTGGCCTTCTTTGCATTTGTGCTTCATAACGGAGGCATTGTTGTTGGTAAGCTATGTCCTTTTTGTACAATGTATCTTTTCAAGGTTTTGGAACAATCAAAGTTTTACAACTCTATCTGCGCCCGCTGATTAAAATGACACACTTGCTGATTCGTAGGGGCAAAGGATGCACACAAAGTTTCACCTCATTTCGCTCAGATTTGCTACTTCGGGCTAGTAACAGCAGCTGCCTTGGCCCCTGTTCATTTCTGGCCTCATCGTATTTATGATGCTGCTCGTCAACTTCATAAGCGACACGTTTGGGTGTTCGCATTGGGAGGCTGTACTTTGGCTTTTCTGTTTGTTCATTACTTCAGGTTTGCTAGTTGTTGTCTCGGCTTAGTCGAATGTGTTATTTCTTTTTCTCTCTTCTCTTTAATCAGGGTTGTTTGTGTGTGTGTGTGTGAGAGAGAGAGAGAGAGAGAGAGAGAGAGAGAGAGAGAGTGAGTGTGTGAGTGAGAGAGAGAGAAACCATCGGTTGCATGTTGATTGAATTACGGTTTGTTAAAAATACTCTTATGGAACTGTTCAGTGGAAGGTTTGCTTGGGAGGCACCACGTCATCTGTGACGAAAGTCTAGCAAGTTGTATTTTATGTGTTCCTTATTTGAATGCAGTTTTGCGCATCCATATCTGCTAGCAGACAATCGACATTATACTTTCTATTTGTGGAAGAAGGTGATTTGTGCGCACTGGAGCGCTAAATACTGCTTGATACCATTGTATGTCTACTCATGGTGGTCCATATACAACTGTCTACGTGAGTATTTAATTCTCAGTCTCTCTGGTTCTTGCTACGAACATTTTATGGGTCAGTAAATCAACAAGAGACGTTTCGTCACTCTTTAATCATATGCTTTATTCTGCTCCTCTCAAATCCAGATCCACTTTCAAGGAGGTATACTAATGATCAAGACAAATCAGCTTAGCATGTACTCAAGCGGAATGAGCCTGCGAAGTCTCATGTGACGGTTTTTTTTATTTTTGATTTTAATCTTGTCGTTATGGATGGTCTTGTTTGACAATCCTTATCTTTTGTTTTCAGAGAACTACAAGAGCAAGCTTTGGATCTTGGTGCTGTTTGTGGGCATCGTAGGAGTGCTTGTACCAACTCCACTTATTGAATTCCGTTACTACACAATCCCTATGTATCTCATCGCCCTGCATTGTAGAATGGAACAGGATCACGAAGACCTTGAGAGTCTGCTAGTAGCCTTGATTTATACGGCGGTCAATGTGTCTACCATGTACCTGTTCTTGTATCGTCCATTTCAATGGGCACATGAACCGGGTGTGCAACGATTCATGTGGTGACAACTGAGGTTCAAACTTATTATGATACAATACAAGATTCACAGCTTCCATGCAAGAGGAGTAATGAAGATGTCTGATGATTAAAGCTCATCCAACGCACCCATTCTGTTGCTTCTCCGTAATGTAGAACCAAAACACTTACACATGGAATGCTGTTCAGGAATGGAATACGGAAATTCGGTGGATGTCTCCAAGAGAATGTCTACATATGTAAGATGTAGCTTGATTCTTTGAAATATGACGTTGTAGCACTGTATTCCTCTTGCAAGCAATGAAAGTTTCAACCTTCACATCACTGATGCTATCATATTTTACGTGTTTGCATTGAAATCTTTGATTGGAGTATGACATGACACTCAGTTATGAATTGTAATCGAAGTCAGAAACTATATCTGGAGTGAGTTCCAAGCAGCTCAAGATTAGAATGAAGGTGATTACAATTTGGAGCGCAGTTTCGTGGTACGGATTGTTTTTCTTGTGAAAGGTACAACATGAGCTGTACTGCCGAGTGAAGACAATAGCAGTAAACATCAATTAAAGAATTCATCACCGACAATTGATGATTCTATCGCTAACACATGATAATAACTTGAATGCTGTTACTATTTATTATGATAATGCTAAAACTAATCGTACTAAACATTCTACATAGGTAGGATTGTTGTGGATTTACATTGAATGACCGAAAAAGTGAGTTGCGATTTTTTGAGGTTTCAAACAGAAGGTGTTTTAATACCTTCCAATATTGGTGGTGAGAAAAGCTTAGAGCCTCTTTACACTGTAAGCCTAAAGGTCTGCAACTAAACAGTACTGTGGTTTTAAGAGAAAAGGCCTTCATCACACCCCAAGTTATTGAGTTATTAACTCTTTTTTAGAAAAAAGAAAAAAGGCAAAAGACTTCATGTGACTGTACAAATTGTGCAGATACACAATTTAGCTCTTGATTTATACTTTATCATAAATGAATAATTCTATCAAGTAACCAAAATGTATTCAAAAAGAAGAAACAATGTTGGAAATATGGGTCTAAAAATATCCTGTGTCTGCATGAAACTCAGAAGTTCTTTTGAAATGTGACGACACTTGGTGAATTCTGCATTGTTCCATTAATTTCCCAAACTACTTAAATAGTAAGCCTCGACAAAACAACATTTTTGAATCAACACACGGTTCTGGTATTCTAAATTAGTAATGGTATCATTAATAAAGAGAATGCTTAAATTGTTAGATGGAAAGAAACATCCCTGCGCATCATGCAGTGATTATTTTTGGCAAATTAATTTACCCATCTTGTCTTCTTCATTCATGCACATGTTTTCATGTGGAAACGGTCATTCATCGATGTCCACAGTCAACTGGACAGTCAACTCGATTGTCTAACAAGGATCACAGAGCTAAATTGAGTGATTCCCTTTTTTATGTTTTTTTCCATTAAGGAATAGTAACTTTTAGGAGTAATTACCACCTACCAAGTATCATAAAGTTTAATCTAAAAAAAAATTAAAGAGTGGTTGCTGACCTTCTAAGCCTCTGTTTGATTTTATTTTTATGAATATGGCAAATGCTCAAGTGGGTAGTTTAGAGGCAAATGCTGGGTCAAGCGCAGTTAACTTGAAGATGGGTCTAGATAGGGGATTGGGTATCCACCTCAAAAGTTGCTTCTCCACCTTTGGAGGTACCCAAAGTTTTAAATTTCAACAAAACCTAGTCAAGGAGTTGGATTGTCTCTGCAATGCAACCATTTTGATACTGATTTTGTACACAAAGTTGAAACTGCAAACATTATAATAAGTTAAGAGGTTTAGTGAGGAAACAGTAGTTGTGAACTGATGAGGCAGTGTGGTAACTTCAAAGCTAATCAAAGAGCAATTAAAAGGAAATGAATGATTGAAGTTTACGCTACAATGATTTAACAATAATGAATTAAAAAAAATAAAAAATACTAATCTTTTGAATTAAAACACAAAACATTGTGTTTTTGGGGAATTGATATTTCCATCCTAGAGTTTCACTATTCCTACCTAGCATTGTGTCACACCCACCATGTTATTGTTGTTGTTGTTGTGGTCTTGAGATGACTTTAGAGGCAATTTTGCATTTCTACAACAACTTCACTTGCATGTATTGGGAGAAAAGTGTGTGCTATTTGGAGACCCTTATCTAGGGAGTTGTTGTGGAGCATATGTGTGTAGATATTGTTGCCAAAAAAACATCCCATGTTGCCAAAAAATTGACAACAAAGACAAAGGATTAGCCCAATGGGACATTGTTCAAAGCAAAATTGCCTTTGAGCATGTCACAAAACAACAACAATAACAATGTGGTAGATGCAACATGATGTTGGGTGAAAACAATAAAACTTTGGGTGAAAATATTAATTCTCTATTTCTACCTCTTTTTTTATTTATTCCTTATATATTGTTTGCATATTTAGTTTATGTGTGTTCATAATTTCTTTATGGAATATAATTAAAATTTTGTAACATACTGATTTGTTCAAATTTACAATAATCAGTGGTTTTACTCACGGTGTTCTTCATAAAGGTTTTCTTTTTCTTTCTTTCATAATTTGTACAACCAAGTCTTGGTTAAAAAATAAAAAGAAAAGAAAAACACAGTATTCAACTACATTATTTACGGAATTCGATTTGATAATTTTCATGAGGTGTTCTCTATAAATGTTTTCACTGAAAACACATCTTTTCCATTTTAATCAAATTTTCATCTCTCTGAAAGACACGATTAAAAAAAAATGTAATTTTGTATGAATTTCAATAACACAATTAATTACTATATTTGTCAATAAAAAATACAAATCGTGTTGAATCCTATCGTTTACATTATTGTACCTTCAAACCAATAACATTTTTTACAAAAACTCAGAATCCATTCAGAAAAGGTAAAGCAAATTGAGCAAAGATCCTTTAGATATTTTTCTCATCCTTTGAAAATCCAAAGAAGAGCGTTCAGAATCAACTAAAACCAATATTATGTAATAGTTGAGACTATATTTTCTGGCATTGAAAGCCACTAAAATTATTTTTAAAGAATTACAAATTGTAACTATAAACATGCTATGTAAAAGAAAACACATGTGCATTTACTTTTACACGCCCACATAAACGGAAACGCGCTCATAACACAACAACCGAAGATGAACGGAGACGTAACGAAGATAAAATCGTTCATCGACCAATGGATGGATACGATTAGAAAGAGAAGATGAACATACTTACGTGCGAATGGATGAATATGGGTAGAAAGAGTGGATGAACAAAGGTCCGTGCTGATCAATGAATGAATGTCTGGACGAACGGGTGAAGAGTGTGTAACGAGGGCGAGGCGTGAAGCTCCAGCGCGGAGTCATGGTGACGGAGAGCGAGCGAGGAAGAGACTGCGCTGCGGGGAATAGAAATCTGGGCGGTAGAAGAAGCAACACCTCGGTGGTAGATGGCGATCTGGGTCGTGATCTCACTGCATCACGAGGGAGCGTTTTTCAGAGCCTCGCAGTGGAAATTATTACCAAACCCAACTCGTGAACCTGAGCTTTGGGATTGATTCAAGGCGCCTCCGAGGCTGAAGGGGAGTGACTCCCATTCGGATGGCGTTGTTCACTGCGGGAAAGCAAGCATTCACTCCGTTTACGCCCCCCCCCCCCCCTTTTCCCCACGCTGTGTCGCCTCCGGACGGGTCGATTCGCCTCGCCCCAGTTGGACTATTATTACTGAAACGCTAGCGCGTGTTCCGACTGCGAAGCGCAGCCACTGCAACGCCGCAATTTCCGCGTTGGCACCCCGACTTCGCCATTCATGACGGTCCCGCCTAGTTTTCCAAGCCGATTCGCATCCACCCGGTTCCATCCACTCCATCGCATCACATGTTGCTCGTCACTCCGGTGCCATTGTCTAGAACTCTCACGTCGTGTGCTTCTGCAGGTTCTCGATGTCCTGGGATGCTGGCTAACTCCGTTGACAATCTTGGAAGTCCAGTGAGGTGTCTTCATGCGCACGTTATCGATTGTAAGAACGGTGGCTGAGGAGTCGACTAGAGTGGTAGCTCGTGACCTGCATTGGGGTGGAGTTTGTGCTGGGAGGTTGTTGTTTCAGTCAGGGCTGTTTCGGGGGATCGAGGGCTGTTCATTCAAAGGTCAGCATTTATGGCGGAGTATCTCAGGTGATTAGTACTGATTTTCTAGCGCTTGTTAGGGTTGAATGTGCATACATTTGGTGCAATTCGGCAGTTGAGGGGATTGTGTTCGCAATTCGTGCTAGTCGTGAAGAATGCTGGATGCATCTAGGGTCGCGCGCGTTTCCTCGCGACGCACTTAATGTGTTGCTCCGCTTCGTTGATGAGCAGCTTACTTGTATGTGGGAAAATAAGCGAAGAATGTTGCGCTGTCTAAGTGGCAGCGCGAATCTCCGTTCTAGTCTACTTTTCTCAATTTCATAGTATCATATTCTTAGAGATGCAGTGCGATACATTCTCTCTGGGACTTAGAATTTCGCATTTCTGCTTGAGCATTGTCAGCTCTTGCTTGTAGAACAATCTAATAGAGAGGCGAATCTTTGGTCCAAGGCTGAACTCCACCGACCAAGTGACATGCTGTCAGTGATGTGCACTTTACTTGTTCTCGGGTTCGACACAAAAGAAAGCATTTGCAGCGCTTCACATTCATGCCCATATCACCCCTTGACATCTCTCGATCAATGTCCGCGCATCCAGAGGGATAAACTTTGGAATCACGCAGACGCACATCAACTTTGTGCCATCTGATTGCGGTGACTTCTCCCGTTGGATCATCACGGGTCTAGCGCTATGCAGAGTTGGACACTATAACTCTACCTTGTACAAAGATTTTAGGTCTGGTACTTGTTAACATAGCAAAATTTCAAGGACTTAGAAAGGAGTTTAAGCTGGCGCCCATAGTGATCACGCAGGTTCAACTGGATTGCGAGTATCCGCCAGTCTGTGCCGATGGCACAACGACGGAAGAGGGATACCGCAACTCCGAGGAGATGGGCATGTTATGGGGACACTCGCCGAATTCAGATGTTGTTGGTGGTAACCGAGATCTCACCCGTGTGCTCTTGAGTCCCCGCGTTGTAAGCACAAATAACCCATCTCACCCTATGAGCAGGAGGTCTCTCTCACAGAAACGAATGCAGGAGCCATCGCCGTACCTTCTATTGAAGTTATGCAAGGGCCAGCGTGCTCACGAGGGTGAAGAATCCCCAAACGAATCAATCTCGAAGGCGGAGATGGACGATGGCGGCAGCGGTAAAGACTGCAGGAAGGATCGTTGTTACATCTCTAGGTTCGGGGACAACACTGTTTCGCAATATTTTGGTGGTCCCAAGAACTGGAGACAATCAGCCTTTTACTTCTCTACGCTCCTGATCATCACATTCTTCCTGCTCAAGATTACGTACGTGGGGATATTTTCCGTTCACAACCGTACTTCAGATGTTCTGCGGGTAATATTTGACGTTGCTTCTTGGTAGTGCTAAGTCCCTGTTCTTGCTTTGAGTACAGGGAGTTTATAGACTCTGCAGTTATAGTACATACAGCATACCCACATTGCTTAGAACACACTTGAGTGCACTACGTAAAGGAGCGGTTTTGGGTTTAACCATCTATAGACACCTTAGTAATGCTTTGTTAATGATATTGTCAAAACCTGGTAGGGTATGTCGTTTTGCCTAGGGTTCATGAGAGCAATTATTAGTCATTCAGATTGCTTTGATTGTTGTCGTTGCTAATGGTACTAGCTTCCACCCTTGCAGTATCATGAGAGGAGTATTTTGTTGAAGCCTTTTAAGCTGGAATCAAACAGCGCCGTTGATGATAGCAAATCTGGCAATATAATGAGCGACTCGTCAGTTCTCAAGTTGCCCAACAAGCTTGGCCGCTCAGAGAAGCTTCGTCAGGTAAAACCCTTGGCCACCAGCGCTACACCTTGCCTTAGTATTATCGTGACGAGTTGAAGTAAATGAATTAGGTTTTGTTTGATTGGGATTTTAAAATTACACCTAATTCAATTTATGTTCACGTGTCTTGGGAGCCTCGACTAACACTGCACGAGGATCTCTGTTCGCAGACACAGTCTTTGTGGCCTGATGAGCTGTGGGCAAAGCCAGACAGCCTGGGGTATAATCAGTGTATCGATCGTCCTAAGAAGACAGCAAGTAAGTGCATCACTACATTTTTTGTGTCGGAGTGCCTACTTTTGTTGGGAATAATTTATGAAATTCAATGCTACCTCCACATTGAGCTGAGGATTTGTATTTGAACTCCGTAGGTATGGTAGACGTGATCACGGATTCTTGGTCAGAAAAGGAGCCTGCTGCTGCTTGGAAAGCTCTCTGATGTGATCAATTTCGTTTGCTTGCTACAGATCCTGGAGGTCCAACGAATGGATACATTCTAGTGAATGCAAACGGCGGTTTGAATCAGATGCGATCGGGAGTGAGTATTGGATTAACTGAATCTCTATCTTCGTGGAAACTGTGATTTCCGAAAACTCTATATTACCTTCTAGTGTTATTGTATCTCAATTTACGGCGAGTTTTTTGACTATGAATTGTTGTTCACCAGTAGAGACATCTGTATGCAGATTTGTGACATGGTTGCCATTGCGAAGCTGATGAATGCCACACTTGTCGTCCCCAAACTTGACCATAGCTCTTTCTGGGCTGATCCTAGGTCAGCACATACTTCTCGTCAGCATGGGGAATTCCAACTAAATGGTGGTATATACGCCTGCTATTGTGAGACATTATTCTCGCAAATGTCATGATACGATGGTTTCGGTGACTTTAACGTGATATTACCTTCCTGCAGTGAATTCAAGGATATCTTCGACTTGAAACATTTCGTTGAGTCACTCCGGGAGGATGTCGACGTTATAGACACTTTACCGCTTCACCTCGCTAAGATAGAGCCTGCAACTAAAGCGCCCATCTCTTGGTCGAAGGTGTTTATTCTTTAGCCCTCGAACACTTGGTGTTGTTTCTTCATTTGATGTCGGTCTTTGCAGATCTTAGATTTTAGAACTCCTTGCAGCTGCATCTCGCCGCTATGCACAGACTGACATCCTTGTCATATGCTATGAACAGGTGCCTTACTATGAGAAGGAGCTTGTACCTTTCCTGCAGGAGAGCAAGGTTCTGTATTTCACTCATGCAGACTCTAGGCTAGCAAACAACGATTTGCCTACCCATGTGCAGCAGTTAAGGTGTCGAGTCAATTACCGGGCGCTTCAATACTCAGTGCCTATTCGACAATTGGCGAGCACCTTCGCTAAGCGTTTGCATGACGTGAGTCCTTACTTAGCTTTGCATCTTAGATTCGAGAAGGACATGCTCGCATTCACAGGATGTGCACATGGTCTCTCCGACAAGGAAGCTGAGGAGCTGAAGCAGATGCGCTACGAGGTGAAGCATTGGAAAGAGAAAGAGATCGACGGAGAAGAGAAACGTAGGCTGGGTGGCTGCCCTCTTACCCCCCATGAAACAGCGTTAATGCTGAAAGCATTAGGGTATCCATCTTCGACTCAAATTTACATTGTGGCTGGAGAAATTTATGGACAAGGTACCATGGATAGTCTTTACAAAGAATTTCCGAAAGTATACGATCACACTACGCTTGCAACTGAGGCAGAGCTTGCCCCTTTGAAAAAGTACCAGAACCGACTTGCTGGCCTGGACTACATGGTGGCCTTAGAGAGTGACGTGTTCGTCTACACATACGACGGGAATATGGCCAAGGCTGTGATGGGGCACCGGCAGTTCGAGGGTTACCGCAAAACAATCAGCCCGGACAGGTATGAATTAATGCCACTCAAAAGTTCTTGCATTGTAATGAATTCACTTCAAGAATTTAAACCTTCTGTGTTCGATTCCGAGACAGGTGTTGCCAGTTTTGAAAACTTTTTGCTTCTGTGGCTTCCGAACATGACTGCAGACAGCGGCTAGTGAAGTTGATTGATGACTATGAAGCTGGTTCTATCACGTGGAAGGATTTCGAAGGTCATGTTCGCAAAATCCACAGCAACCGAACAGGAGCGCCGCATTGGCGGACGCCGGGAGAATTGCCCAAGCTTGAGGAAAATTTCTACTCTAATCCTTACCCTGGTTGCATTTGCAAGAAGGAATCGCAGAACCGGCGGCTGCTCAAGAGACCGTGAAGATCAGAACTGGTGTCATTGGGTTGCCCGAGAAATGAAGCCCGTTCTACTTGGGCTTTGTGATCTACTTCCACTTGTGAGTGGCAGCGCGAGCACGGCTCGGATCCGACGTTGAGCGCCATGAATGTCTTCTCAATGGTTACCATCACTGCAAGGAGATTCTGGCTACGAACTGCACGTCTAGGTTCAGAGCTGTGCATGCGTTCTGGGGTTATGATTTTTTCGAATCCATGGGATTCCTATCTGATTCCCAGGAGTGTTTTCGCTCCACGCCCTCAAGACATTAGGCTGCGATTAGTATTGAGTCCTGTCTGACCAACCGTCCACATGAAAGGAATTAACCACTTCCGTAGATTTAGTGCTGGTGTCTGTGTGTGGTCGCCCCTAAGTATCCTAGAGTTTCCGCCTATTCTTTCAGTACTTCTCCTACAATTGTAAATTTAATGAAGACCTGAACTTCTGAGCCACGTATGTGCTCATTTGTATGGTCTTGCCAAATATAATGCACGCAAGAGTATCATTGAACCAAAATTTGCATTCCTTACCCAAGTCCTCCTTTGAAGGGAAACCTTATTTCTTGCAACTCAATTTTGTACGCCTCGAAACTACGATTCTCACGGTTTCCTGATTCTTTGGCCACGGACGATTCTGGGTTCCAGCGCTTAAAGCGTATTGGAACAAGAACACCATGCTGTGAATCACGAGGTCTGGTGTGCGAGATTATGAAAGAGCGGTGATGAGGGAATTGCCTCTGGAGGTTTTCCTCTTGTATTTGGCCGATACTCTCTCAGCTCTCTCTTTCGGTGGGTAATCACATCCTCGTCATCGAGTGAAATGATTCTTGGATTATTTAATCAACTTCCATTTTTGCAACAGAAGAGTCTTTCCCTGAGCACTTTCTCAACGTTCATCGACTTTTCCTACATTGCCTCAATGAGATCGTCGATGTCCTCTGAACCAGATGACTGTAGGGTATCGAAATGGCATCAAAGGTGTTAAATATGAGGAGCATTTGGTTGGATCGCATTCATCAGATGGCTGATTGTCATGTCAGGTCGTCATCTTCCACGTCCATTCCACTGCAGTCGCCGAGCGGTTGGGATCATGCAATGCTGGGCTCCACCTGTGCTTCACCACGTTGCCATTATGTTCCGAAGCTGACTGATCAATCTAATCATTGTGCAAGTCATCTAGTTTTTTACTTCATCCCAGGTAATGAAAGCGTGGAAAGTTGCTCCGCAATCCCTAGAGAGGTGTATACCTGCAAGTAGTGTGCTTTGCTAGCTTTGCAGAGGTCTGTGTGCAGTGATGAGCCCATTCCTTGAAAGTGAATGCCGTGATGCCGATGCTGCATAGAAAATGCCCGCACGTGTTGAGATTGTTGAAGCTCCGAGTCACTCCAAATTGCACCTCATATATCAACAACGGTTGTAGCTCCAAGCGAGGAGTCTACCAATGTGTGAGACTAGACGAACTTCGATTGAGTAAGCTAAGCTTTGTGTAAATTTTTTAGGTTGTTTTGAGAATAATCTATCAAACATCTTATGGCTTCGACATCACCAGAACGTTATCCTTATATGAAAAACATTGTGACTCCGCTGTGGGGCACCTTGTACATGCCGCACAGAAGGCATCCTGTTCAGCGCTTTTAAGAGAGCTCAAATCCTCCGTGGTTAAGAATTCCAGCAAACAATGTATAAGGATTTTACCAAAATATAGGCCCTATCAATTTGTTTGATTAACGAGGTATGCGTGATGCACACCAGTAGACTGCAGGAGCTATGAAACTCAATGCCAGTTCTAAGCTGTGGTGCAGATTTCTCAGCTGAGAATAGTAGTTGGGTGGAGCGGGCTGTGAGAGCAAGGATCAGAAGACCTAATGATATTGTAGCAATAGATAGGTTAAGAGAAGTAAAGAAAAATAATAGATGAAATTTTGATTATAAAATATGACCACAACTTAAGGCAATAGAAGAAGGTGAGTGGATCATAGTCCATGATAATAGTTTGAATAACCAACATAGTATATTACAAAAGTTTTTTAAACATTGGTTTGGACCATATGTTGTTGTGAAGAAAGTTTATTACCATAGTACATACTTATAACAAGAACTTGATGAAGTAAAATTGAAAATATGTATAAGAAGCAAGAAAATCAAGTTATTTAGATAAAGAGGTGAATATACTTATTATGGTAGAAAACAAAATCCATTGAGTGATACTAAAATGAGAGTAAAAAAACCAAAATTTAATTGGGATGAAGAAGATTCTATATTAATATATTGAAGAATAATTGATACATGCCAATGTTGTATTTTGTAAAAACAAACATTAGAATGCACTAGGCATTTGGCTATAGAAGAATTTGAACTTACTTTGAAATTTGATTTACAACCTAATATAATGCATAAGTTGTTTACAAAGAACCTTTGGCAACCTTAAAGAATCCAAATAAACTTCCAATTATTCAAAGTACATCATATTAATCTTAGAAAAATCTTAGATATATCTTATCACAATTTAATCAATTCCAAATAATCCTAAATAATCTTTAATACACTTTAATCAAATCTTAATAAAATTCTAATCAAATCCTATCAACTCTAAATAAAATCCTAACAAATTCTAAAAATATCTTTAAAATCATAATTAAATTCTAATAAAATCTTAATCAAAGCTTAATAAAAACCTAAAGAAATTTTAATAAAATCCAGACAAAATCCTAAAAAGAACCTTAATAAAATCTTAATCAAATCCTAATCAAATCCTAATCAAATCTTAATGAAATCCTAAAAGTACCTTAATTAAATCCTAATCTAATTCTAAATTTTAAATCCTTATCACATTCTAATAAAAATTTAATAAAATCTTAATCAAATCATAAGTAATTATAACCAAATCTTAATTAAATCCTATATCAGATTCAAAACCTCAATAACTAATAATTTAACCATTGATCTTGATTCAAAAGTTTCACATCTTTTAATATTTTAGTTGAAAACAAAAAATTTATTTTTTAAAGAGGATCAAACTTACCAAATAAAAAAAAAAACTTTATAATCTACTCAAGTATTAATTGTCTTCTTTTTTAAACCTTAATATCAATCTTCTTATATTAATATCTCTTATAAACACAATTCAATTGCTTTTAAAATTTGCATAGTTCTCTAAAATCAAATTTGCTATTAGTACACCAAATTTTATCTCAATCAAATTAATAAATTATTATAAATCTTAGAAGACCTTATTGGCCCTACAAAATCCAATTTCTAAGATCTCAACTCATTTGAATTTACAATACATATTAAATACAAAAATAATAAAAAATCTACAAATTTTCACTTCTAGATCCACTACAAATTTGACAAAATGTTCCAAAATATATATATTTTATTTCACAAAAATCAAAGTCACCTCAAAACAAGTCTAACTTTGCAAAGCTCTTAAAAAAACATAACAAAATCAAATCATCTAAAACTAATACTCAAAAAAATGCTAACAAGTTTTTACTTAAATTCCACTTTGCAATTAACAAAAGAACTCCAGATTTGTCATAAGAGCACAATTTTGTGCCTTACGGTCTAATTTCAACTTATATTCATAATTGGTCGTCTTTAAGTATCAACATCTAATTTTTCTAGGTAATTTTTGCTAGAAGCTACTATTTACTTCTACCTCGAAATGCCCATGATACTAATTTTGCTAATTTATTTATTTATTTATTTATTTTTATGCTCTACAAAGTAAATAGAAGTCTATTTTATAAAAAGAAAATATTAACATTAATAAGTTTTACTACCTCTTTATCTATTATTTATATTTCTAAGATAATTTTCTATTATATTTAAAAATAAAATATTTTATTATGTAATTTTTTCTTCTCTCTTTTACACTAGCTATATTATACCAAAAAATGCACAAGTTTGGTAGAAGATAATATAGAAAAGAGATGGATGTTGTATTATAATACAAATATTGGATAAAAGAAAGAAAAAAAATATAATATTCTAAAAGAGAATATATCAAAATATGGTAGAAAATTACCTTAGAAATATAAATAGTAATTAAAGAGGCAACTAAACTAATAAATATTGATATTTTTTTTAATAAAAGAAATTTTATTTATTTTATAGAATTATAAATATGTTAAATAAAATAGATTAGAAAAAATAATATTATAAATTTTTTTAGATAAAAATAAAAAATAACAATCAAAAAATATAAATTGATAAATCTTAGATTAATATCTATAAAAGACCAATTATAAATCAAAGTTGAAATTAGACCTTAAGCGCAAAAATATATGCCTACAATCAATGGATTTTTTTATTTTATTTATTTATTTTTTTGACTAGAATATTATCTCTTTAAGAAAACTTGATAGGATTTCTATATGTGTTTATTTTGAATCATTTGAGTTCATATTGAGATTATAAGAGCTTTGCAAAGTTGAGGTTGTTTTGAACAACTTTATTTTATATTAAATAAAGTGAAGATTACATTTTGATGAATTAAATGAGTTTTGTAGCAGATCTACAAATGGGATTTTGTGGATTTGTGAAAGCTATTGTGCTTAGTATAATCTATGAATTTGTATTTAATTGGACATCCATATAAAAGTAATTGAGATTCAAGTGAGTTAATGTCTCAAAAATCAGATTTTAAAAGTCACTAATGATTTCTTAGATTTGAAAAAATCTATAGATTAGATTAGAAAATTGCATCATTATGCTAATATTTGGCTTATTATAAAAATAAAATTTCACATTCATTATGACAAAAAATAACAAAAAAAATCAGATGTATACTAATACAACATGTATGTGGTTTACTTCTTTTGAAGCTACATCTAATAAAAAAACTCTTGTTTACAACTTTATTAATATGACACTTATAGAAAAATATGCTCTTTCCAAGTTCACTCTTACATTGCAAATTTTTTTCTACTTGCTGATTTTTAACTCCAAGTCCATTTAAGATTATATCCTATTAGACATGCTATCAAAAATATGAATGTTAAAAAATCAAAAGATTAATACATTCCTGTGTTATTCAAAAAGACTAGATAATTATTCAAAGATGATATGATACTAAACTAAAATGGTTATTATCAAAAAAAAATAAATCATAATGTCTTGAAAGAAGATTAAAAATAAGAAAGATATTAATAAGTTTGAAGACGGATTTATTCTTGCTTCCATATATACTATCTAACTAGAAGCTTCATTGCAACATTCTATAAGATCTCCAATACCTATCCAACTTGTGAGACATGTCTCCAACTTACAAAATAAGTTTCTTATATGTACATTGTATGATTATCTTGTTCTATATGCTACTAATACATGTGACACATGGCTAACTTATTGGTTAAGTTTCTAATCTATCAATCAACTACAAGCACATATAAAGTCAAATATGCATCTATAAAGCTTCTAAGAAGCTTTGGTATAAGATAATATTAAATCTACTTACATTTACCTTCTTTTTAATACTTTTTATCTAAATAAATATGTATGTCCATGACATTA